CTGCACCTCACCGCTAGCTAAATTAAAGTTGTTAGTTTACCTACCCAACATATACGGTAAATAATAACATATTTAACCTTCACCTGTGTACAAAGGAATCGAAATCAATTTTCATTCGGTTAATTAGCTAGCTAGCTAAGTAGTGCTAACACTAAGATTAGCTAACGCTAGTTTTGTATTGTTTAACATAGCTAGCTAAAATTTTAACACAAGTATTTGTGGTAATACGCGAGTATATGTTTCGAACCAATGTAGCATAATTTATTTGAACCAATATGTGTTAACGTAAGGCTAATGTTAATAATTGCTCATGTAGCGTTCAAAGGCATCTTCAGTTCTATGTTTTCATGTTTGCCTGAGGCATAACTTGTTTTTATCCTCTTTAAGTGTCACATATTTGTCCAAACATTGTGTGTATTTATGTGCTTGTGTATCTGTGATCAGACGAGAGATCAATAGGCTCCAGGATGAACAAGAAGAGCTGTTTTCCCTCCGAGTTGTAGCCGCTGGACTGATGCTAGTGTTGTTCAAGACCTCACTGCCATGTTGGCCCGTAGAGACAGAATAGATGAAGAGCTGGAAGCAGAAAATGGCCACGTGGCTTCTTTGAATGACCAGGTGAAGTGTGTTTTGTGTGTGCCATGGACCATTGAGTGCAGCACGGTGAATTTCTCTTGTTTTTCTTACCACAGGTGAACCTACTTGTTTGCTTTTGTCTTCAGATTTTAAAATTGGAGAGGAGGTTGGCAGGACAGAAGACCGGTGGGGGAACTACACACAGTATGAGCTTAATAAAAAACACCCGCTGGACAGAAAGCAAACTGTACAGGGTTAGTGTTACACAGATAATTCACTTCACCAAGACGTCACTGGTCCAACTCCACCGCGACACTTGTAACTATTAAACACAACCATTAATTACGTTAGGTTTTCTATTCTAGGGTCGCAAATGCCTCGATACGAGGATGACCAGGAATGGAGAGTTGAGGGAGGAGCTGCAGGCACTGTAGGTGGAGAAGAAACAGTTTCTACAAGTTCAGTCTCATCTGGAAAAGGTACGGTTACTTAACACCAGTCAGATCTTAAATTCATATTTAGCTGCTGCTGCTACTACTTCCGGCCAATATGTAGCAACTGGAGGAAGAGATGCCAGAATGATACTTCAATCCTCTTACTTTTAGATCTTCTTGAAGTTTTATATATATATAGAACTACTGTACAACAGAAGATTGAACACCATTCCCAAAGCTAGAGAGTTTTGGGAATAGTGCCACACAAGACATGGCTGTTAATAGAAGAGATGTTTTGATGTGGGATGGCCAGTGAAGGGGTATTAAAGGGATTCATATTTTGATAATGTAGACAGTTAATTGTATTATCTCATCCAGGAGCTGCATGCAATTCGCAAGACTATTTCTAACCTGAGGACTAAATGCACTGAAGCCTTCAACGCCAGGTAAATCATTCTGCAGCGCTCTGAATCTAGACCCAACCTTCCTTAAATGTCTTAATATCTAATGGCAGACATCATTAAGTGATAACAAACAAGAAACGCATGAGAGCAGACTTCATTTGCTGAAGTTATTCAGCTGAGGCACACTTGCATATGTCTGCTTACTGTTTACTTATACTATTTGTTTCATAGATTTGTAAAGATGAAGTACATCCACTCTGTATAACTGTTTGTTTGTTGCATATTCATGGCTACACCTAGTGTGAAGAGCCAGGAAAGACAGAGGACACTGATGGACCAGAGTGCTAAGGATGTGGCTCGTTACATCAAAGAGAGGGACAACCTGTTTTTTTGCAGCAACTTTGAGGTTTTCAGCGATATAAAGGCTCTTGTACGCAACAACCAGGACAGCGACCACAGGAAAGGTGACGATTATTATCATGCTTTGGACACAAGATTAGTTTAGGCACCTAGTCTCCTGTGAGCAAACGATGTCACGCATTTGAACGAGTCAGAATATTATTGTATAGTTCTTAGTTTCAGCTATCTGAGTACAAAGTTCTGTCATCCTGATTTTCTCAGTTCTCAGCCTTTTCCACACAGTCATTATGTGCTTTAGCATTATTGCTCTGATAGAACGCTGAATTTTGAGATTTTTCTAGTCCTAGTCCACAGACTGTTTTATACAACAAACCACTATCACTCCCAGCCAGTGTTTTTGTCAAACTGTATGCGTTTACCTCTAATCAAGTGAACTAGCGACACCTTGTGTTTGTCAGGTGTTACTGCTTGACTAATTAATGTCTGGCAGAGGACAAAAAGAGAAGGTTTTCTGTTGTTACTTATAGAATCCCTTTTTATTGTCATATACATATACACATACACAAAATGTGTCTCTGCATTTGACCCATCCCTGTATATAGGGAGCAGTAGGCTGCCTGCCAATGACAGGCGCCCAGGGAGACGGGGGTTCAGTGTCTTGCTCAGGGACACTTCGACACGTGCCGTCCCAGTCGAGGATCGAACCGTTGACCCTGCAGTTACCAGACAACCCTCTTAATCCAGTGAGCCAATTATTTTGATTTCATATTAGAATATTACTGCAGTAAAGCCAAACTATGCATGTTTCTGTGATTTCAGTCCTGCTGAGCTTTTTTTTGTATGTTTAAAAATTTTCTTTATCTAATCATTTTGAATCAATATGCCACTTTAAATACCTGCCTTAAGTAAGCTGCTATTTAATATGCTGGAGCTCTGTAAACTAAGACTAATTTTCCAAAGAAAGGTGCTGTACGTCATTCCTTATATACAGCAAGTTTGCCTCAGGCTCCCAAGTCACCCATTGGCTGTGACGGATGAATTAAGGACCTTGTGGTGCATGCAATTCCCACAGTGAGGCACAAGCAATTGGAGTCTAAGGAATTGGCACGGGGGGGATTTTGAGGTCTCTCTCAGAAAGATCCTCGCGGAGACTAAAGAAATGGACCTGGACAAACTGGTCATGAACTTTATACAAAGTAAGTCCCAATTAAAAACTACTGAGACGATGGAAGTTGTGCATTTTTTTTTATCAGGATGAAAATATGTTGTGATATATTTCCATTAGTGGAGGAGCAGAACAACACTTTGCTGAAATTTGTCAACCATCAGCACAGTGAAGCAGAGGCCATTGGAAGGCAGATCTCCAAGGTTGGTGTGTGCGCTGGGAGAAAAAGGGAGAGAGATAAAGAAGGAGAAGGTAACTGTGGCTGTACTCTCTGTTTTTCATTGTGTCTTGGACTGAAAGCTTTGCAATGAGAGAGAGATCTTTGTGGCTGAGGAGCAGCGGCAGAAGGAGCAGCATCACGCTCTCCAGATGAAAGTGTCCGTCAAGCAAGAGACAACTGGGCAACATCTGGCAGCTTATCAACAGCGTGTTGAGGTCATTGAGAAGCTCCTGGACCAGCTCAAAGAAGGTACAGCAAAGGACCCCCCTCTGCATAACATTATCCTTTTGAATGGGAGCAACCGAGACATGGCAAACTGTATGATAGAGTTCAGCAGCAACATGCAGACTGCACAGTCAAAAATGTAGACAAGGCTGGAATATTGTGTGGATGAGCAAATTAAAACCGTTCACCTTCCTTTCAATTAGATCCTTCCCTGTTGAAGGGTTTTTAAAAATTGCAGATGTAATCTTTACAGCAGATGTGTAGAGTATATATAAAAGTAGAGTAAATATGTTGTATCATGGTAGGCAATAAAAAACCTATCTACCAGTGAAAGATAAAATTAAGTACTCATTATTTTTATACCTCATAACTACTTTTACCAGGTGTTGAGTCGTTGCTTCGGCTCAGCTGTGACCGCTCTGTGACTCACGAACAGTCGGGCTCCGCTGACGGAGTCCAGGATGAAAACGTCGTCGAGTACCTGAGAAGGGTGGAGAACAGAGTCAATGAGCTTCTCACTCTGCAGTCCTTCATTCACTTCCAGCAGAACCTCAACCCGTGGGTGTGTGGCCATAAAACACATATAGAACCATTAGAGAGTTGAGAAACTGATAAAAATGCCTGTTGCCACCACATATTGATATACTTTCTCACCTCCAGGACATTGACAGTCTCCGTACGATTGCTGGGCAGCTCCTGGGAAGGAGCTCACCAGTTGTCAACCTCACCATTGCTGCTGGGAGTGCTTCACTTGTGTAGGTGTTATTTTTTTGTGCATTCTATACCATTGCTCAAAGATCAATGGTATAGAATAATCAGTCACAGGCAGTGTGTTGTCGATACCGTGATCATTAATAAACCTTTTTTTTTTTAGCTTTTCTGTTGAAAACTAAACTGCACTTATGAATTTACAATCTCTGTGAAGCCTCAGTCACGACCCAGCCGGGGTGGAGTCGTTGCTGCTGGAGGAAAAGGAGCCGTTGAGCAGAGATGATCTCCTGATATTGCTCGAAAAGAGGGCAAGATCTGAAAAGATTTCTCCATTTTCTTCAAAATTAAACAATCAAACGTGTAAAACATAATATGTTCAGTGATTGTTTACAGCACTGAAGCCATGAATCTCTGGTGGCTTACATGTAGATTATCAAACTTGTCATGAAATGTAACCGTCGAATTCAGAGGAGGAGGAAGACGGACAGACTGACCTGACGTTAACAGACGAAGATGCTCCTTAGAGCCACTGGAAACAAGTTTTTGCTCAGCTTTTACATTTTCTAACGGCTATATTTAGTTTTATGCTTTTTTTTTTTAGTGAATGTTTAGATGGACATCATATGATGGGAAGCTTCAATGGAAGATTCAAGAGGGAATAACCTGCTTGTTTTTAAAGAAGTGGGAGACCTAATGGCATATTTCTGTATATTGCACATTAATGCACATGTGTTCACAGTTCACAGGTTATTTAATGTATTCTCTCCATAGCTCAGTAGTAGTTGTTTTGTTTTACATGTAAGCATTTCAAGGAGCTGTTCAGGAGGTCCTGAGATACATTGTGCACACCGTCACAGGTCACATGGTGTGTGGGATGACATTACGAGAAAACAAGGATTCAAAGATTTCAATTACATAACTTTTTACTATAAATTATAGGAACAATTTACATGAACACTACTTAATCAAATGACAACAATATGACATGCTGAACAACAAATGATCAAGTTCTTGGTTTGGCACTTATAATTAAAAAGATTGATCAGGTGTACTCACTCACTCACCTCAATCACCTCAATCAGTCACACTAACAAACAAACAAACACTATTAAAATCCCTGAGGAATATAAAATAAACAATCAGCTTCATTGCACTCCATGATTTGGCCCTCAGTTCAGTAGATTGGTTTAAAGGGAGACACTACAGATGAATAGGGTTAACATTTTAACTCGTAGATATAAACATGAAACTTACATTAGGACATCTAAGTTCTGTTAAATCCTTCACATTATAGATCGGAATGAAGTGGAGAATTCTAGCTTAGAGGAATGTATTGTAAAATTCCATTCATTTTGCACACTACAGGTGAATAGGGTAAAGAAATGAACTAATTGATACCACCATAAAACTCCATAGTTGATTACTTACATTAAGATAATTCTTTTTTGTATTACAAGTTTTCTGAAAGTTGATGTTTGGATACGCAAATGAGGCATTTGTTTTGGTGAATTTAAGAGAAATCTACAGACAAAATCAGTAGTGTAGTAAAAATAACACTTAGTGTTTTGATTTTTTTTTTCTTTCCACTAGTGTGAGAATGTAAAGAGTCTTCCTGGGTGAACTTCTGCTAAGCTTCATTATAGGGTTTGATTTTTAAGGTCACATCCTTTTAATGTGTTTTTCAGTCGTCTATCTTCGGCCAGCGTCACCACAGTACACCACCCTGCTCTCCAGTCGAGAACGCTCAGCTTCAAACACCAGCAAATGGCTCAGCAGTGTCTCCTCGGGACCCGAACGGATGTGGGACGGATCGTTGTTCTGCACTCAAGAAAACACACACGGCAAATCAAAAATGAAACCGGAAGCTGTACATTGACACAATAAAACAGAAAATATTTATAAGCACTCACAGCCACAGCAGAAATAAAGGCAGCCATAAGGTGGTAGTCCGCTCCACCATGTCCACTCATGCCAAAGTTCCGGGGGGCGTCATTGTGTGCCTTGTGCTTTGTGGATCTTTGGGTCAGAAAGTCAAACACGTGTATCTCATGGCCGTCACAGGACAGCTCCCCCTGTAGAGACACAGGTCATGATATGGGTAGTATTTAACCGATGCGTCCATCTTGAAGTGTGTAACACAGAGTGATTGTGTTCGGTATAACCAGGATACAGTAGTGTAAATGTGGGATTGTGCTTCTAACAGTTTGGAAGAGGCACTTTCAAAATAAAATGCTGTTTTTCTAATTTGATGTGGAGGAAATTGACTGCACACTCCTTTAGTCAAATTTCGTGTAAATGATGATTTTAATAAAGTTTATATATTTTTTTAAAATCTTTTTCCTGCTAGCTTCCTTTTTGTAGCATTTCTTGTTTCTTCACTTTTAGCATTTCTTACCCTTTTCTTTTTGGCACATTCCTTCCAGTCCTACCTTGCTGCCATAGATTGTGGTTTTTCGCTTGCATATCTCCTCAGTGAATGCTACCATGGAAAAGGCTGCCGTCAGACCGCCTTCAAACTCCATGTTAACAACCTGGGAGAACCAGATAGATTAACGAGACAAGACTTTGTGAATCAGCAGCAGTCTGAAGACAAAAATGATCCGACACTACAGTTTATTTTTGTTTTGTTTATGTTTGATACCACCATCCATACAGGTGTGTCAAGTTTTATTTGAGCATCAACGAAGCTTAATGGGTCAAAGGAGGGTTGTACAGTATGTTGTGCCATGGAGGATAAGAACCAGTCTTAATATAATACCGGTGTTCTCTAACCTGGTTACTGCAGACGTCGTTGTCACACTCGTAGACACAGCGGCCATATGGTCCGGTCCTCAGGGCCTCAGTTACCGACTCGATGTCTGGGAGCGAGCTCGGACATATGACTGACACGGGCCAGCCAGTGTGACCCTAGTACACACACACACATGAAGTACATGTGAAATCATGTATAGCAACTTCAGTATTATGTTCACAGATATAGATAATTGTTTAAATAATGTGCTGAAATGTGAACCTGTTTCACTCTATTCAAGTAGATTTTGGATGCCGAGTATGGACAGTCTCCTTCTATTGAGCAGTCCAGGCAGCGATTTCCAGCACCTGTTGGCTGACAAAAAAAAAAAATAGCGGTGTCATATTTCATACTCATGCGTAGTTTATAACATTTCAGGTTGTTAAGTTCTTTTGATTAGGCGACATACTGTGAAGAGACCACAGACCTTGTTTTCTTTTCCAAAGTGGCTGACGGATCCAAATGACGACACTTTCACACACCTGCCAAGTACGATCAGCAAAGTTAGTTATTAGTTATTATGGAAAACAACCTTGTCCGCCTGAAAGCATGGAGACGTTGGTCTTAATTTTGAGCATGAGACGAGCTTGGAATTGATCATTGATGGTTGATGGCTCACCTGCGTGGTCCGGCCCAGTGATGTATTAGGTCGATGTCATGGCACGATTTAGCCAAGAGAGCAAAAGAGCTCTCTGCTTCGTTCCTCCAGCTCCCTCGAACAAAGGAGTGAGCAAAGTGATAGAACCCGACCTGGAAGAAGAGGGTGACGAGACTAATCTGTAACAGTTACGCCTTTATATTTAAAAAGAAAGAAAGTACTTTACTTACAGTAAAGAGATTACTGCAGTATTACAATACAGCAGCAATCATTGAAGACACACCTGCTACTGAGTACACATTTCTCGTGTCTATTTGCATTATTACCGGCTCAAGGTGCTGAATGTGCATCACATCACCTACGACTCCGGCATCTATCAGTTCCTAGAAACAAAAACAACAAGGTCAATTCTTACTTTGAATTTTGTGATTTTCTTCACCACTTCTTTTTTTTCTGGAATTGAAACAATCAAAATATGCTTCGCTCTCCTTGTTAAAAATTGAATAAAAACTCAATTACAGGTTTAATTTTTAAGGTACCCAAATTGACGTATTTTAACCCCAAACTGTGACCCCTGCCTGGTGGAGAAAACTGTCTTAAACAGAAAGTATGACAGAAAATGTTCACCTTTATCTTGTGGGTGACTGGATCATACCGGAGAACATGACCCACGGATAGAATCACGCCACTCTGAGTGCAAGTCTCCACAATTGCTGTGCAGTCTTCGGCAGTCGTCTAATGTCACATGATCACATTGGGGTGTAAGGGAGGAATGAGAGTCACGCAATCATAGAAAGAAAAAGAGAGAGAGAAGGATGTTTTTGTATGTCAGAAACGGACACAAAATAGTATCTTTTCCAAAGTTTTCAAAGTGCTAGAAAGAAATGTAATCTGAAATGTGATGAAAAAAACCCAGCATCTATAAAGAAATTACTTTAAAAATCAATCTGTAGGATAACTTCACAAATATCAATGTTAAAGTTACGCTCTGTCTTATAACGGTTTATGTTTATTTACAAAACACTCACTGCCATTGGTTTCTCCAGCAGAATATGGTAGCCCTTCTTTGCAAAGGCCACCGCAGGTTCCTGGGGAACAAAAACTAGTTTAATAGATTAACTAGCCGAAGAACAATCACAAAGTTAATAACTCAGACAGATAATGAGGTGTGTACACACATGACTAAAAATTGGGAGTTACACATACATGTAGAATATATCAAGTACATTGTTTGTTTACCTTATGAAGGCGGTCTGGAGTACAAATTAACACGGCATCTGCAAACTTCTCTCTTTCAACTATATTGTGCCAGTCTAGTTTGGAAGGAAAAATAAAAGTAAAATAATATATATACAGTATGAGGCAGATATTTTCAAACGGTTCAATGCATTGTTTTCATTTGATGCTCACCTTCAAATATGTTTTCATCTAGAATTTTGTGTTTCTGTTGAAGTTTAGTGCGAGCAAATTTCCTTGGATCAGCTACTCCAACAACCTGAAATAAGGAAGCTGACAACTTAAATAATGCAGATCATTTACTGAAGTAAAGTAGCAATACAACAGAGGAAATCCAAGTAAAAGTCCTTCATTGAATTTAAAAAAACAAAAAACATTATGATCCAAATCTATATGAACCTATATTGTTACATACCACATTGATCTGCTCATCTACTTGTACTGTGATATAAACTTTTATATTATACATGTTTCTCTTGTCAATTATCTCATCTTGGATCATTTGGCTCACAGGGACTTTATGGTGCCATATGTTTTTATCACATGTTTTTATCAGTACAGAACACAATCCACAAGAATTACTGATTGCCTCCTTGTTGGCAAGATCAGGCTGCAGGTGCACCCTCTCCTCTACTGACCTGAACGCGTTCAGGGTGGATGGACGCAAACTGGGAGTAGATCTCTCCTCGACAGCCAGCTCCCACCACGATCACGCGAACGGAGGAAGTCATTCTGGCACCCTGTGAACTTTAACACTAAATCATAGCTTGTAGACGAACTCCCTACAACGCCTGAGCTATTAAACACTCCTCATTAGACACAGTCTACAATGGGACACCACACTTCCTATGATCTGTTTTTATTTGAATTTACTTCATCTAGTTATCTCAATATAGCGTGGATTAGCCATAATTTGAAGGTGAACTAAATCTGTTTAAATTGAAGGCATATGAAGACAGGTTAGCTCATTAAAACAGTGTTTCTGGGAGAGATATTATCAGTTCATGACATGGTTGTCTGTACCTGTTTTGTCCCATACGGCTGTCAAAACCTTCTGTCTGTCTTCTGCGTTGGTCCAATTTTGTCTGAAGACCACTACGAACAGCGGCGATGTGTTCGACTCGTAGGTTTCACTACAACAGCGGAGTTCACTTCTTCGAATAAACAAAGCCAACCGCTAAACAGTCACTTAGTACCACAGCGTCCCCTAGAGGGGGCACGAGGCCCTGCTGTATTCACGGCTCCTCGTAAACTCGTATTCCCTCGTAGCTCGTTACAATGTTAAAGAAAACAAAAAAACATGCCTGGAGGTTAGTGTTAGTCATCTATTTAATATATATGGAAGAGCCAGGCAGCTGGAGCTTTTCTTTTAAAGTTTATTTAAAACAAAAAGCCGAGACGTCGATGTCACATGAGGGGGGTTAAGGTCACATTTGAGTCATTAAGGTCACAGCAGTCATGTGACAGTCGACAGCAATGTAACTTTAGGCTTGGGGGTCTTAAACATCTGTGTTTGCTATCCAAACATTGCTCTGTTCAAAGAGGATCTTTAATCATTTGGTTAACAAGCAGGGCAACCAAAATGTTAATTACATCTTCGTAGCATTACTATCTAGTTACAGTCTATGATTGCTATTTTTTTTGTCTTAAGCTAGGTTCTTCGTCTGTTGATGACAGATTGTTAAGCATATTATGTTCACTTATCACAATGAGCAGATAACGCGTAAAGGGGTTTAAAACACCACTAAATCTTTATTAACGTTCTTCGTTACCTGTTTGCTCTACATCTGTTTAAATAATCACGCTAGCAGCTGACACAGCTACATTAAAGAAGTTGTTTGTTCAACAAACGAACTTTGAATACAAACCAACCCATATCAACTGTAACTTCGGGAATCTTCGGCTACTTCCGTCAGACCCGATCCACACGTACAGAAAGGGTCACGTGACGCGTTTGGCTCTACAGCATGAGCACAGCTTTCTGCTGCTCGGTAACGCTAGCTTCAAACATTCCGAATGCTAGCTAGCTAGCTCCTGATTCAGCTATTTTAATAACATCGGAGTGACAAAATAGGCTTCCCTTCACAACGTAGTACTTTGTTGAAGACTAGCCTTGGAGCTATTTAGCACAGGATCGCGCTTTCGGTCATATTTGTACATTTCCTCTGTGCTAGCTAGCCACGGTTAGCGCGTTAGCTCACGGTAACGTCAACATGAATATAGATAACGTTAATCAGTCCGTCACAACTGGAGTGTCCTCCACGACGTCCTCAACTTCGAGTAACTGTATCGCAAATGATAACGCAGCTACCAACGTCAGCAGCATCCTTTCGGTCACGAGTAATGGTAACGTTCACTGTTATATGACCGTTACTAATGTTCATGTTGCTGTGATCAATACTTACGTTAATTAAAGGTAGGGTAGCTGGTTTATTGCTACTGAAGATAAATGGTTTGTGTTCCTATCACAATATAGTGTGTAAGAACGTGATGCATCATCATGTGTGAAATTTCTTTTTTTTTTTTTTTTTTTTTTAACTTTTAGCAACCTTTCTTTAGGCAAAACTGCTAAACACATTTTCCTAGAAGGGAAAACTGTAACAATTATTATTTGTGCACTGTGCAAGATAGGAACAATGTTTTTTTTATTAAAAATGAATTCATCCCAAACATTTGTATTTTAGCTTCAGCCTCAGCGGCCATGGTAATACCATCAGCAGACTCATCTGTCTCCAACGGCGTCTACGTTCCTGGTGGTATCACCAATGGAGATGTGAAGCCGGCCTTCTCCACCACGCCGCTGGCAGATTTCCTCATGCAGCTGGAAGAGTACACTCCCACAGTAAGTCCAGTGGTGTCAGTTAGACTACTATATGCTGCATTCACAAATATGGACATGTTGCATTATGTTCCAAGTTATTAACTACTGAATTCTGGCTAATGTTGGAAACACCTGGCAAGTTCGCCTACCCTGCCAGCCACATCAATTGATCACCAAATCCCTTAGTGAACATCAGATTTAGTTTTTTTGTACCAAGCGCTGTCCTACTGAGACACTGCTAATAGTTTCATTCAGTGGTCAGAGGCTACTTTACATTTGGCTGATCGTCATTGAATGGCAGACATACAATAACAATGTTCTTCACCAATAAGTTGAAGTGAAAGCAGGCTTTATGAATCTTGACCACACGCTGAAGTCTGCTCTTTTTTTTTCTTCAGATTCCTGATGCAGTAACGGGCTACTACCTCAACCGGGCTGGCTTTGAGGCTTCTGACCCAAGAATGTAAGTGCAACAATGACTGACTCTTTGAAGTGTAGCTCCACCTTCAAGCTTCAGTGTGAGGGGCTCCACCCGATACCCCGTGGAACCAAAGGACACAAATCAAAGTGCTGTAGACTTACAGGACAGGCACAAAGGGAGTGCTTTGAAAGCACCATATTACAACATGTAACAGTCTATTTAACTTTTTCTTAAAAATTCTAATTATATTAATGTTAAACATATAACACAACAATCATTTAAATACACATGTATAGCATTTCATCTACCACAAATGTATAGTCTTAAACAGGAGGCTGTAACTCTTTCTTGTATGTTTAATCAATAACTTTGGACAAGCTGTTTTGTATGTTTCCTTTACGTCCTATCATGTGCTTAAGTAGTTTTGGATAAACTGTTTTAATAATTACACGTGATGACTACAGTGTTGTCTGAATGTCGCTCAGCAGCTTTCAGTCAAGTAATATAGTTGGTAAAGTTTGATTAGCTGAGTGACAATGTAAACATTTTTAAAAACTAAGAGAAATCTGACTTATTGTAGGATTGACTGCCATGCCTGTCTGACTTTTATTAAATGGAGTTCGGTGCTGTTGTATGCCGTATACATCAGTACTGCTACTAATCTTCATTGGCATGTGTGAGCAGAAAGTACAGACTTTAAGCCTAGTGGACCATTTATTGTCGCCTTTATAATCGTTGCTGTAATAATTTCTTGGAAAAGTGAAAATGAGATCCGAAGAATTTTTTGATCTGACTTATTTGTTTTTTCCCCCTATGAAAGAGAGACACATGCTGGCTGTGTACAGACAGGGAAAACCACAACAATTATTTTCTTTTTGTTAATTTCTTCAGAATCCGTCTGATCTCCCTCGCTTCTCAGAAGTTTATCTCGGACATTGCCAATGATGCGCTGCAGTACTGTAAAATGAAGGGCACTGCCTCAGGAAGCTCAAGGAGTAAAACAAAGGTCAGTGTTTCTCTCATCCTAACATGTGCTTTAAATGTGATACACTATTTTGTAGTATTTTGAGTGTTGTAAGAAGATGGTGAGAGAGGTAGCTGTCAACCTATACCCATCTCTGCTCATGTTGTTCTGATGGTTACTGGTTTTGTATTCTTTCTTCTTCTCTTTCTATAGGATAAGAAGTACACTCTGACGATGGAGGACCTGACTCCTGCCCTCTCAGAATATGGCGTCAATGTCAAGAAACCATATTACTTTACATAGAACTGCCTTTCTTTAAAGGCTTTTTGCTTTTGCTAGTTTTTTGTCCCTGCTGACCCACTAGAGTCTGTCAACACCTTTATTGCTAAATGTTTTTGTTTTGATCATTGTGCTTTAGTACAACTTTGACAAATCGTAGTCACTTTGCCATTTGTTCTTTTTTGTGGAGCCACCTTTGCGTTATGTTAAATTGTATAATTAAGTTTTGTGGTGAAAATAAAACCCATAAAAAAACTTTGTGTGTGAGATGTTTCATTTGTCCAATGCAAGTAGAAGTGCTAACGGCAGCCACGGCCAAGGACAAGGGCAGACTGCAGCGCATCATTCGCTCTGCTGAGAGGGTGATTGGCTGCAATCTGCTGTCCCTCCAGGACCTGTTCGCTTCAAGGACCCTGAAGCGAGCAAGAAAGATTGTAGCCGACCCCTCTCACCCTGGACATGATCTGTTTGTGCCCCTTCCATCTGGCAGGAGACTGCGGTCCATCAGAACCAAGACCTCACGCCACACAAACAGTTTCTTCCCGTCCGCAGTCGGGCTCATTAACAAAGCCCGGGTCCCCCACTGACTCTGTCATCCCCAGGACATTTCCTTCTGGTCTCTCCCTTGCACATCCCTGTTTCTTTATTTGAACACACTCATCACTTTTAACATTTCACTTACACACTGCACTTGTTTTACAGTCCTGTTATCTGTTTTATCACTTTATTTTATATTTTATTGTAAATTTTAATATGTTTCTATTTCTTGAGTGATTGTTGATAGTTTAATTAATATTGTTTATTGTTAAATGTTACGCACCACCCGCCACGACAAATTCCTTGTATGTGCAAACTTCCTTGGCAATAAACGATTCTGATTCTAAACATTTTGACGTACTGAAGGCACTTGTTTATCAACCTTATTGTTCAAAAGTAAGATGCAGCTCAATTAAAATGTACTATTATTACTTGCTAGAAATGTGTGACTGGAAACATTGTTTTAGGATTTGTTTATTTTTTTGAAATTGCAATAGGGCATAATGTAAAGCCACTATTAATAGTTTTGCTAATTAACTGACTTTTGGACCGATTTCCGCTGTTGAATTCTACCACTAATTGAATTTCAACATTAAATAAGTACGACTTTTACTGCAGTAATTCAAGGTTACAATGTTATTTATTGTCATTATACAACAGGGTTGTACAGCGATATGCAGTTTGTACTCCCGTTTTGCAACATAAGAACAAAAATAAAACTATAGTTTATAGAGGTGGCTTATTAAGTGTAACAGCCCAAGGCCTCACGAAGTTACGTAATCAGTACAGTACAGTTTTGTTTACTTTTACGTCGAAACGATTAAATGTACATTACCACAAGCCGGCACTCTGTTGGAGATATCCAAGCTTTCTCGCGTTGCCACTATTTTGACCCTAACCGCGCGCCGTAACATGTCTCACCATTCAATGGCTATCACATCTATGGTGTTATCCGGCGAATAGCATTTTTATTTAGTCTTAACGAGCGAGGAAACGGTCACAATGTCTGTTCAAACAACAAATTCAAGCAACCCGATTGTCTTCTTCGACGTAACCATCGGAGGGCAGGTGAGTAGAGCAAACATATAAAGATATACGCTATCATTTATGTCCCAGCTAACCAACGTTACCGTGAATACATCTCACCATAATATCGTGGTAAAAGTTGCGATCAACTGAACTACGTTGGTTGGTATTTAGACATCTTCGTTTAATACACGTGTCTGATACACATGGCAACAAACAGGGCTGGTTCTACGTTTAAATCGCGCGGTTTATATTGTGGTGAGCATCTTGTAGTGTAATTAAGGTAACATAAGGTAGCAAGCTTTTTGTTTTCGCCGATCGTTGTATAAATACCTCCAGATCGTGAATAACAAGTATACTGTGTTATCTTCAGTACGTCTTTTATTCTTGACGAAGAAATACGCCATTTGTTCCTGTGAGAGTTCAGTAGGTTTGCTCAGTGCGCCCACATGCGTCCGGGAGTGAAGCTCCAGTCCTCAGCTTCTAAGAAGGGCGATAAGTAGAGCAGCCAAAACCTACATTTCCACTAAACGTTTCCTTCTCACATTGCTGTAATCTGTATGAAAGTATGTTATTATTATTATGCTATATGTATTACCTTTCGTTGAAGAACTGCTTTTAAATTTTAACGTCATTTTAAATTTTAACGTCATTTTAAATTTTAACGTCAGTGGCGCGCAGTGACCACTTGGCGCCACTCAAACTGCAACAAGTCTGTCCACACAAACGCTGTTTGCACGTAATGTGGCGCACAATGATGTTACAGCAGTGTTATTCACTAATATGTCCAGAAAGGTAAAGTTTATACATCAATTGAATACGTTTGACAGTTTGTTTTCTTTAATCGCCGTTGAAATCACGTGATGTGCTCTGTACGGAACACCGTTGAGCTTTATGGGCCACAGGAGGAGACGTTACTTTCCCCCACTTTTCTCAGAAACTATTGCACCAAAATACACATCAAAGTGCAAACGGTCCAATGGATATTCCTTCTGGAGAATCAGCACACAAAGTCTGTGAGGAAGGTCTGAGGGAAGATCACGAACTGTGTGAAATGACCCGGAAGTATCTAAGTGGCAGTCTTGATAAGAGCTGGTCGAGTTCCCTAAAAGCTAAGGAAAGGTGCTTTAATGCTTCCTTTCTTTATTTCCTCTAGCTTAGGATGCACTGGACCATCCGTTATGACTGAACATTTAGATACAGTCGTACCCACAGTTCTTTGTGTTTCGGTCGATTCATGATAAATATGAGTGGATAGTGACAACCATTTCGTTTCATTGTTTTTTGTATTTTTTTTGTATGTATTTCGAAACAAATGAAACAGTAAATATGAAAAAAAAAGTACAAACATAAACTAATATGTCTGAAAAGGAGTAGGAAATTCACATATACACCATAACTCTGACATTTGACGAAATATTTATCATGTAAACCTTTGTGACTAGAAGCCTATATTCCTTTTTTTCATTTAAATTCCAACCGTGGTAATAAAGTAGTATTTTAGACTTCTAAAATAAGATAATCCTGTGAATGTCGCTCAGTGATACTAGTTTATTGGAGATATGATGATTCATTAAATAATAATTCTTCTTGTGGTCTGTTAGACGGGAGCTGACCTGACAATACATCACCAAGGCTATACCGAGTTTACTTTGTTAAACAACGCAAGAAGAAAAACTCGACTGAGGTACTCTGCTAACTGGTACAATTCAGAATCAGAACCGTTTATTTGCCAAAGTATGTTGCACATACAAGGAATTTGACATGGTGGATGGTGCATAACATTAAACAATCAGCACGGTGCAAAATACAAGACATGATTTAAAGATGGATATAGATCTGGATTTGTTTTGCAAAGTTTTCCATTTGTAAAAGAAGTATTAATGTATCTTCTCAGATCCCACATGTCCCAGTTAGATGTGATGTGACGGACGGTAGGAAAGTTTTGCAACAGAGAAACGACACTGATGGAATATCAACATAAGCAAACATCACCACAGTTGTCATCAGATAAACTTGCTTAAAACCTGTGAGAAGAGCACAGAGAGACATTTGGGATCATGTGGAACAACCAAAAGTGTTGCAACTGACAGAAAGTGTTCATGTAGGATCCCATTGCTATTAGTAAGAGCTGAATGAGAAAATAAGTCTTCAGGGCCTTTTAATACAGTCCTTAAATCCAAGTTGCTAAACACAGTAGTGAAATAGACCCATACAGTATTTTAAATTATGACTAAGTGGGAAATCTCATCACAAGGTCGTCTAGATTTGGATCGTTATATCACACATCATCATAAAGGTGAAGGAGAAACTTTGAACCTCCTCAAATAGATTGATAAACATGACATTTGTAACTTATGTTTTCAAAGAAAAAGTTGCAAAAATACATGGTTCACTGAAATAAAATGAAAACTGGAATTTTGGATATTTATTTCGAAACATTTATACCTGTTTGGGACAGAAAGTTAAAAGAGAATAGATATAAGTCAACATAGCATTTCCCTCAAGTCTAAAGGTATCTTTAAAAAGTCCTTCATGACAAACATACAAATTAATGGAGAAAAATAATGTGGATTTACAAAAGTTTAGCTTAATGATCCAAGCGTTCAGCAAAACCTGAACCCCCCCCCCAACCAACTCAAAGAATTCTATTTTAAAGTCCAGTCACAGACTCTTGTCAACGGCAACATTTTGCTGTTGCTCAAAAGCATGTGCCGATGGAGAGGTGAAAGATGCGTGTCTGTGTGTAGGTGTCAGTTTACATGTACACAGGTGAACTATTCATAGTTGCCAGCTCAAGTCTTCACTGACTTTCTCGCATCATGGTTCTCATTTGCTATTGGCTGTCAGGTCTGCCGTGTAACAGGTTCACTGTTGATGTCTTTCTCTGTTACACATAGAGGAGGGTGTGGCTCTTCTCTTTGGACGGGTTCGACACAGCTGCAGGGAATGGCTGCTGTCGTGTTCCTCTGCTCAAATGCCAGTAAATGGGCCACGGGCACACGTTTTCTGGGAGGCTGTACGGTCCTTGTTTGTTGCTGTTTGCCCAGAACATCACGCCCGTCAGGAAACTGTTGGTGCACTCCACCCACAGAAGGTTAACAGTGATGTAGGCAGGTACTCCAAAGCTGAGCAACATGCAGACCACAGACATCACGAGATAAGGCATCCAAGTTAGACTAAAGCCCAGTATTAGGCTGAACCACAGAGGCGGGCGCGGATAGACGGTCTCCTCCGGTGGATTCTCCTCAATGCCTTTTGTCTCCGTGCAGTCAGTTGAGGTGAACAACAAGTCGCTGCTCTGGTTCTCTGGTTCTTCCCTCGCTTCAGATATCCTGTTGGCCTCGCCCACCCACTTAGGAATCATTGAGTAAAAGGGCAGCATTGTACAACCTACCGCTGAGAAAAGCCCCAAAATGAAGTAGTTGATCAGTGTAGACTCCCGTACTTCACACACTAGAACTGATAGCCTTTCCTGATAATCCAGTTTCATCGAATCCAATTTGACAGAACCAAACCAAATGACAGCTAGGATCCACACCAGCAATGTCAAGGCGGTGTGCCTTAGGAATTTGGAGAAGGCGCTCTGTTTGCCGAGGTAGGTACCTTCTAAACAGCAGTCCAATAAACCCAGGCAAATCAGGGGCAGCGGCAGTGCTTCATATATCGCAGAGGCATTGGCCAAGATGAAGCAGAGGGACATGAGATACCTTTCAGGTCCAAGAAATAACAAGCTTGAGAAAAGAAGCACCATCACAGAGTCAGCCAGGACGATGGACAGACTGCACATACTTAAAAAGGAGGTGGACAGTTTCCGGCCGCTGAAGGAGAGGACCACTATGTCCAGTACCACCTTGATAAGCATAATTCCCAGATACTCGTCAGTGTTGTCTGTATGACGGCCAGACACATCCGTTTGTGCTACGATGTCCAGCATTTTGACGGTATTGCTTGTTTTCTGATGCGTTATCAATTCATGCAGCATTTGTGCAATCAGCGCTCAGTTCAGTATGGAGAGGCTCCAGGAAAGGCTGTGGAGGACAAGAGTATATTGGTTAGGAACTACGGCTGTGCAAATGATTACTGATTAGAGAAAGCATGTGGATGCATGAGTCCAGTCCAGTCTACGTTACACTGGCAATTATGAAATACAAAGTAAAAGTAGAATTAATTTTGTTATCGTTGCAGTTTTGAGACACACACTTTGGTTCTCATATCTTGTCACTTCCCCATCAACATCCTGCAGTCATGGTATTCGTTCTTTCCAGCGTTGTTAAACCGGAGAAGCAAGTTCTGCCATTTGAAGTGTGTAGCTTACTCTGTATAAATTATATAATAATAAAACAAAAACTGACGCTAAGCCATCTGTACCTCTGTGCTCAGGGTTCTCCTAGTCCAGTGGGTTTCAGAGGCCCTGCATGCTCTCGCCAAGACTTGTCTGAATATGACTGTTGTCAGGTGAAGCGGTTCATTTGAGATGGCTATGTATGGCTCCACCTTTCCATTGTGAATGCGGACAACTAAATGCACACATCTGTGTCTTGATGGAAGCCTGCCCATTTTCTATGTAACCTCTGGCTACAGTGTTAGTTATGTATGCAAAATACTTAAAAACAGTAGCTTAGAGGTACGAGTTGAAAAGCAGTGAGCAATTCCTTAATTCGCAAAAAGCATGTCAATTTTATATTTCAAGGCAAGTTTATTTCTACAGCACATTTCAACAACAAGGCAATTCAAAGTGCTTCACATAAAACCATTAAAAGCATCAAAACATAGGAAACATTGATTGAAACATTAAAAACAGTCATTGAAATATTAAGAAGCTTCTCTATTAAGAAGCTAAAAAAAAGAATATGCAGTGCAGTTTCAGAAATTAAATACAGTAGTGAAATGTGGGAAATTGATTAATATCCTTGAATCTGGTTCACTTAAGGGAAGCAGCAAACAGAAAAGTCTTCAGTCTTGATTTAAAGGAGCTGAGGGTCTCAGCAGACCTGCAGCTTTCTGGGACTTTGTTCCAGATATTTAGAGCAGACAAACTGAACGCTGCTTCTCCATGTTTAGTTCTGACTCTGGGAACAGAAAGTAGACCGGTCCCAGACAGCCTAAGGGGTCGGGATGGTTCATAAGGTAGCAGCAGATCAGAGATGTATTTTGGCACTAAACCATTCAGTGCGTTATAAACCAATAGCAGGATTTTAAAGTCAATTCTTTGCTGGACAGGAAGCCAGTGCAAAGACCTCAGAACTGGAGTGATGTGATCCACTTTCTTGGTCTTAGTGAGGACTCGAGCTGCAGCGTTCTGACTGACTTTTTACAGAGACCTGTAAACACACCGTTACAGTCGTCCAGTCTACTGAAGATAAATGCATGGACAAGTTTTTCCAAATCCTGTTGAGACATAAGTCCTCTAATCCTTGATATACTCTTCAGGTGATAGGCTGATTATGTAATTGTCTTGATGTCTGTTCAGGTTGAGGTCTGAATCCATAACTACACCTAGATTTCTGGCCTTTTCATTTCATCAGAATTTCCGTTTCATCAGAATTTAATTATTTATTTTTACAATATGAATAAGTTTCACAAAATTAGCTTGGAACAGTCACCTAAATTTTTTTATTTTATTACATATAGTCACATAACTATCATTCTGTAAGAGATTTGAGGCTGTAGTTGAATAATGAGGCAGTTTGATAAACACAAGTAGTCAGGCACAAATGCACCTCTACGGGTCCTTGTATGATTCTTCAAAGTGTGTTTGGTCTTTATCTGTCAAATAGAAAAGGTTGATTATTAATTTTATCTCAGTTTCTCACCGGGTTTGGCTTGATATGTTGACTGTCAGGTGAAACCCTTTAGCCTCTTATCTCAGTGCACCTTTCTCTTCCTTGCTTTTGTTTCTGAATCCAAAGTGATCTTTGGACATAGCATTTAAAAGACCCTCATTCCAGTGCCGCCACAGAAGTAGTTCAACATTATACATTCAACAACAGACTCTTAAATTAAAATGTATTATCTGATGAGAAACTTTTTTTTTTTTTTTTAAACAACCTATCTTACCTGTTAGGCATGTCAGACTCCAGCGAGAGAAAACACTCAGCAGACAAAAGGTTTTGTGGTTGATGTTTGTTCCTGAACCAACTCATGCACCTATATTTTGTTTAATTTCCTGGTAACTAAAAATACACTCTGTATTTTCTAAATGGCATAGACAGGAGATCCACTGGCTGTTTGTTTTACTGCGAGTCGTCTGCGTCGTCTGAAGAGTTAGTTATGCAAAGATGTCATGGGGATAACCGGCCTTTTTTTTTTCTTTTTCTTTTTTTTTTCTTTTTTCTTTTTCTTTTTTTTTTTCCATACAGACACACGGACATTGTTGGAACAGTCAGCTATTTGCATGTCCCTCCGGGTTGTGGGAGGCCTGGGTGGACAGATACACACACACACACACACACACACACACACACACAGACACACACACACACACACACACACACACACACACAATACTTATAGAGATGATTTAAAGTCGTTCATTAAGATTCTGATGTAATTTACATTTTACATAATGTATACTTTGACCACCGGGAATCAGAACTCTGACAGAAAAGCTTGTGTAGCGTTGTTGGGATGAAACCGAGTCCACTTGATGTTTTCAGGCAGAAATAGGATAATGTGTCCTTCAAGACCAGAAGTAGAAGGAAGAAAGATGAGAAGAAATCCTATACCAGTTATTCAGTAGAAGTATCTTTAAAAAATGTGCTGTTGCAGAGTCTCTTATTAGAACTGGTTTCTGCAGATGAGGCCTTCTGTCTCAGAGTACTTCCTGTCACAAGACTGATCAGGTTCTGGCCGTGCTATGTAGTTCAGCCTGAGGTGAAACACTGTCCCAATTTGCATTCAGGTGTATACGTTTCATTGTTTGTCTTTGTTTTGTGTGTTCAACTGTTTTCTCAACTGTTTGCCAGGATATCGGACGGATGAAGATCGAGCTGTTTGCCGATGTGGTTCCAAAGACGGCAGAGAATTTCCGGTAAGGAGAAAGTCGTTCCAGAAGTCTGTTTTTCAGGACTGACGTGTCTGAGTGTTTGAAGGTGTTACTTAAACTTTCCTCATCTCTTACAGGCAGTTCTGCACTGGAGAGTTCAGGTAAGGTTGCAAAACGTCTTTGTTCTCTGATGTTACACAAAGACGGCGTCACCATCCTCCACACATTGTCCCAACATGCACTCAAGATTTTACCTTCATCAGATTAAGGGCTAAGGAGAACTTTATTACATAAAAGGCTTCTGCTGGAGAAACCTAATTATTTGGCCACATGTATGGTTAAACAGGCCTTTTACATGTGTGCGTGTGCATGACAAAAAGTCACACAAACAAACTGATCACATTGCCAGTACACACTGAGCCACAACCTTCTAATATGAATGGGTTCATTTGAAGAATGCCAAAGGAAGCTTTTAAGCCACAATGCGTGTTGCCAGATATTACAATATACACTGTCACTGGTAGCTTTCGGAGTCACTGAGGCTGATAAATGCTCTGCATATTCATCAATCATGGAAGGTATACGAGACCATTTAACAAGACCAGCTTGTGACCACTGCTCTTTATTTCACCGACACTGTTCCTTCCTGGTGCTCTCTAATGCAGATATGACATAAATCTCTCTCCACACACACTAATGTTTACATTAAAGCCAGCTACAATAAAACAGGGTGGTTTAACAACTGCCAGTTCATGTGCCCATCCCTGTGTCTGCACTATCATGTACCTTATACCTCAGTCAACAATAATACATCAGGGCGGTTTGAACAGCTGCCAGTTCAAGATGCTTGGCCTGTGGAATGGTATGTACCCATCCCTGTTTCTCAATGTTTAGGGATTGACTCGTGGTGTAACAGGCCAGAGTTGATTCCTGATCCGTACAGTCATCAAGGTTCGGCACGCATGTGAACCACGGATTCATCACACAATTTAACCATCATACTGTGAAATAAAGTTTTACGGCCGATATTCAGTAAGACAATGTGCGATATGGAGATTGGTATTAAGGCTTTCTAGTCGCCGATCCCTGACAATACGTTGTTGAGAACAACAAATCTGTGGTGTAAACAACAGGAGGAGAGCTAGGAACCTTGGCAGCACCAGTGCTAACAGCTCATGAACGGAGGTTACATTCGGTGACATTATGATGCGGCTCATGATCTGTTAAATTCTAACTTTATTTTGATGTTTTCAAATGTAAGCTTGTAAAATACAGTTCTGGCGAGACACTAAATACAGTTGTTTGAATGACATGTTTTCACAGCAATATAAAATAGAATTAAGACCTAAGCAGCCTATAATGCATCATTAAAACTATAAATTACAAATGTTTTTGCCAATAGAAATGCAATCTTTTATTTCTTAATCATTTGAATTGTGTGTTTTATGCAAATAACCACTATAGATAACTATAACGACGTAAAAGGCCTGCATTTAGAATCATTTACTGAATTACACTGACTCGTGGATCAGCAATGATCAGCAATAGTGCTCTTTATGTTTTAGAACAGGGTGGTTGAACAGCTTCCAGTATAAGAGGCTTGGTCTGTGGTATGCCATGTACCCATCCCTGTTTCTCAATGTGTCTTGATCGACCATTTACTAGGAAAACTCACATGAGAAACGTGGACAAAACATCTTCCTTAGAAATAATTACTTGTATTACAATATAGTGTCATTGTCTTTACCTTATTTTGATCTGTTCTACAGGAAGGATGGAGTCTCCATTGGTTTCAAAGGTTGCACATTCCACAGGTACACAGTGTGGCAGCTTGATATGCATAGCTCACATTGTACTCCTACCTCATTTGACTGACATTGGGCTAGTTGTTATTGTTAAACTGGTTGTATCATGGAACAGCCTTCTGGCTATCCACTGTCAGCCCTGGCATTCAGGCAGTTTCTGTCCCTGTTTTTCTTAATATTGCAGTTCTAGAGGCAACATTAGTCGTGAGCAAGCATGATCCTGGACACAGACTGAAATATTAGAACTTGGATGAGACGTTTTATTTTTTTGTTTGTTTTTGAGATGAAAGTGCCGACCCTTGAAATCCACGATAGGCCCCTAATGTTAACCACATCCTCAAGTATTATGTTAGTGTTTGTTCATTCATATACAACTTCTACAGAAACTTGCAATTATTTATGGGAAAATGATGTGTTGAAAAACTGGCCACCTCCTATTGTGTTTTATTGTTTTACAATATGTAATCAAAATGGATTTCTGTCTTTTTTGACACTCGTAAACAGAAGAATGTCTGCATGTCTTACCAGTCAAACTCCTTCAGCTTGTACCTCAACAAAACTGACACTTGATATGTTTTCATTGTTCACTGGCAGGGTGATAAAAGACTTTATGATACAAGGAGGGGACTTTGTGAATGTAAGTACATGCACACCTCTTCTGCTGTCTGATTGACGCTCTTGATTTATCTTCAGGATGACGGAAACAATGTTCCACGGTTTGATGTTTTGCCGTCACTGTTTGCATTTATGGCTTGGGTTAAAGCTACAGTAAACTCTCAATCTTCTTGCAACATAGCAATGAATGTTATTTTTCTTACAACAGAAATACATATACATAGTATGTTGAGAAGAATATTTTCAGAGACACAGTTTCTCAGCAGAGGAAACAGTAATCTCTGATGGGGTTATTGCCTGCAGTGGAACAATGTTAGATAGACCTGATGTGAAACGAGCTAAAGAAAGACGTTTTATCATAAACAATATAAAGAAAGATATTTTAAAAGATGGTGATTATTAGTTGGCCTTTTTACTTTTACATCCACTTCTGTCTACCATTTCTTGTATTCATTAAATAAAATAAATCGTGCCATGATGTCAGACAAACTGCAGGTGTATTTTGAATGGAGCAGGAGAACAACATGTATTATTCTGCCTCCTGGTTGACATGTGGTGAGTTACAGCTCATCTTATTGTATAGCTGCTTCTTTCTACTACACCTTATGTTCTGTTTGTTTTTTGTTTTTTTTGTCCTTTTGTGAAGGGTGATGGAACTGGTATCTGCAGCATCTACAGAGGTCCATTTGTAGACGAAAACTTCAAAATGAAGCACTGTGCTCCTGGCCTTCTGTCCATGGTATGTATGTCGATCAATGCTTAGAGGTTGGGTACACTGAATGAGGAAAGGGTCTGTTTACTTTAACGAAACTGAAGTTAGTTGGTTTCCTGCAAACATTTTGTTAATCTATTAATCTGTAAAAAAAAAAAAGTTAAGATTTGATTAATCCACACAAAGTGAATTGACCCAACCTCTATAGACAATAGGATTTGATTGATTGATTCAAAGTGAATTAACCCTGACTAATGGAGACAAACAGACTTTTAAAACTGCCCTTCTTTCTCAATAATGTGTCTTACTCAGGCAAACAGCGGGCCAGGGACGAATGGTTGTCAGTTCTTCATTACCTGCACCAAATGTGACTGGTTAGATGGGAAGCATGTTGTTTTTGGTGAGTACGTCTACGATGTTAGTTGTGCTTTCATATCTATTTAGAGCGCTGTGTACATTTGTGTATGTGCCAAGATTTAAACTGTCTTATTCACACCTGTTTCAGGAAAAGTGGTTGATGGTTTGCTGACCATGAGGAAAATTGAGGTAAAAACACATTGTAATATTAATATATTGATGTCAATGAATTGTGAGTGGAAAGAGACACACACTCATAGTGGGTAAAACGTCATTCACCACTGGGTCATTACCTTTTGTGCAACATGTTTAAAGTTAAAAGGCCTGCTGTACTACTTATTGTCTATAATATTTCACTCATCTCTCAAATCAAGTTTGAAGAGAACTAAGTACATATTTCCTAATATGTATTATATGCTTAACATTTTCATCTCAACAGTGATGTGTAAATCTTCAGACATAAATGTTTCAAAGCAAGCATCCAACGCATGAAACCCAGTCATTGACACTTGTAGTATATCAATCTTGTACTGCTTTATGTTTATGTAATGAGTACTGTAATCAAACTATTGACGTGTGCATCACATGGATCTGTGTGTGTGTGTAATGTTTATGTGACTGTTTGTGCTCCTTCCTGTCTACAGAATGTTCCCACGGGACCCAACAACAAGCCCAAGCTCCCCATCCTCATTGGACAGTGTGGAGAGATGTGATCCAGCTTCCTCACAACACCACGCCAGAATTATACAACCTCTGTATACATGAAGTAGTTTTTATAGTCACTTGATACTCCTCAGCAGACATCAACCTACATATTTTTTTCCTGTGTGGATGTCTTCTGCCATGATGAACATTGAAGGACGGTATAACGTTCAACAGTACATCATTTTGGCCAATTATCTTGAGTTTGGTAAAACTGATTCCAGGTTAATCGCTGAATCCAACCCAGATCAGGTTATTCACATGTCGGGTGGGTTTGGGAACTGACGAGATGTGCTTAATATATTGGTTTTGAATTTGTTTTGCAAATCGTCATGTTCTACACTGTTGTTGGGTCCAAGTGGAGACAATTTGTGCTTCCTGTTAGAAAAAGACAAATAAGAAATTGTGACTTTTTTAAAGAATTGCTTTGCATTTCAAACATTCTAATTCCTGTTTGAGTCAAACTGTTCATTGAGGATAAATAAATTGTTTTACTTTTACACAAACCTTTTGGAGTAATCTTGTTTCTTTGGGGAAAGCTGTTTACATCTGTAACTAGCATCGTGTTTACAGTAAGTTCCTTTTAATCGTTGGTTTGTTATAGTTTCAATATTCAAAATGTTAATGTCTTTCAACTTCTTAACACCAAATATTAAATATGTATTTACTTTTTAAAGTATGAATGCGTAATTAATTTTGATTTTAAGTTCACAGTAGTAACAAGGAATCTGAATTGCTACCGTCTTCACAAAATAAATGTATCAATCACAATATTAACCGTAGCCAGAATCTGAAATCATCAGAAGTCTATCGTGCTCTTCTTGTTTTTACATTTAGATTCATATATGTATTTAAAAACATGGTTGCGTATCCATGTTTTGAAATTGAACTCAGCATTTAATAGTGTGAGAACACTATACCAAGTGTAAATGCATTGTTTTGTTTTCATTAGCCTATTTGCCCTAGGGAGGTTTTCCTCTGAGTCATTAGCTGAGAAAGGGAAAGAATGAGTAATCGTCCAGAGATCTATATTTGATCTCTGAGGTGATACCAGGTAGCAATCTATCTCAATGTCATCGCCAGGAAGCAAAGGAGGGAAATACCTCACAGCTAAAGGCACAATAGTCCTCCAAGTCACACACTTCAGCGCCAAGCAATCCTCTGCTTAACTTATGGCTGCCTCCTCATATCCTAGCCATCCATACAAATCCGAGCCTCCAGACCCCTCCCCCACCCACGCTCTCCCTCTTCCACCGTGGACCTTGTTCCCTTGGCACAAAAGAATCCTTTCAGATGGATACTCTGTTCTTATGGAGGCAGGAAGAAGGGTTTTTTTAGGGGGGAAGGGGGGGGGGGTCTCTTCGTGGGGAGGCTCGCTGGGGTCAATGCTAAAGCCCATCTTTGTGTGGGAGAACGGGGCTCAGCCATTAACAGCGAGCTCTTCACACACCAGCCAGTGCTCATAAACGGTGCCAGTGGACCATTAACATGACAATGGGTGGGGGGCTGCGGTGGGGTTGTCTCACACTCGAGTCTGGGTATGTCGGCACTGCGCTACTAGAAGACGATTTGCGACGATGTTTGCGTTTCACGAGTTTGTTGGGCAGGGAAATATGAGAGAAGAAGCAATAGTATGTTGTGACAGTGTTTGAGCTTATGTGTACCTTTTAGGAATTAAGAAATGTAATCATCTAAGGAATTTACAAATGTCTTCCCTGTGAATCCTGAATATTACAATAAGAAACAATCAAATGTCTGGTCTTTAAATTATGAAGGAAGGAAGGTTATTGTTCATCCTGGATGTTGTATCCTGATATGACCTTCATTCAAAACAATCAACGAAGGATTTGGGGGTAATCTCTAACAAAATAATATCACATTTCAAGTGTAATAGTAGGGTTACTTCCAGAAATGTCCTGTGATATGGAATAGTGAATCAGTTGTTCTGTGTTTAGGTGTTAGAGTATAGCTGTCGACAATGACCTGCTGTTTATTGGCTGGTGAGAACTTAATGTTCTTACAGCACATCAAAATGAGCTCTCTTCCTAAATCTGCCAAGGTTTCATGTATGCACACAGCAACTGACGATGCAGTAAAATTATGAATATGACATTTACATCATGTTCGGTGAATAAAATATTGATGCTTTCCTAAGTCTTCCCTTAAATTGGGTCAGTAATCTCTCATTACATTTCCACCGCGCTGCAGTCACTGTCCATGCGGCTACAGACAGTGTGCAATGTCTATTTTGCATTTTATGTTTTGAAAGTAGTGATGGCAGCTATACACACAACCGTTTCAATCAATCTCAGACAATCACCCAGTTTACAAAATTAAAATTGTATTCAAAGAATTAAAAGACAAAGTTTTAAGACAACTGAACGAAAGACTTACTACTCATAATAATTATAATATAATAATTGTGTCTTTTGAGATGATTTTATGCAAGACTGGCACAATAAATCGAGTCCTTGTGTTTTTCAGTATTTATACATTTTGTTCAAAGACACACAACCAAGCAGACACTGTTCCAAAAGTGTCACGGTTTTCTGTCTGACTTGTCTGGCTTCGGCATCACCATGGGGCGGTAACAAGGAACAGGTACAATCTCTCTTAGCCAATCATTTTCAGCAAACTCTTCTTTCAACCCAATTTGACAGTTGTTTCAGCCAATAGGAATGCGTTTTGTTGTTCACAACACATTCCAACCAATCGGAAGAGTAGTTGGGCGGACCGCCGGTCAGGCACATTCCCCGGCACAGCTTCTCACTCTGCCCAGTTCGATCGGCAACGGGAGCGGAAAGAGGAAAGCTGAGAGCCCGAAGGCAGTAGCCCCTACCACCGCCGGCCCAGGTTACCATCTAGCACCGGGAAACATAGCAGAGAGCCACCGCCGGCAGAAACCAAACAGTAGTAACCATGAGCAGCGAGGCCGAGACACAACAACCACCCGATGCCCCTGCCGATGAGGAGAGCCCATCCAGCCCGGCAGCCGAAGCTTCCGCGGCGGATAAGAAGGTCATCGGTAAGGCTCCTGGAAATGAGCTAGTTAGCTAACGTTAAGTTAGCGAACGTGGTGTGGAACGCTGTAGAGGCGGTGCGCAAAAGCGGCGGTTGCAAATGTTAACTGCCCAACCACCGGGTCAGTTAACCGTTGAATCACTAATGTTATTCCAACATTTTAAGAAATGTCGTTAACTCAAATGGATTAACGTTAACGTTTGTTGAAATAAGCAAATTATAAAATAAACGTTAATTTTGTACCTCTTAAATCTCAGACGATTATGTAGCTAGAACGTGAACTTGTAGGCTGTCTGTAAGTAATATAACGTTAGTTGGGTATGAACTATGATTAATAATATCTTGAATAAGGTAAAATACATTTCCATTTGCTGTCAAGAGGTGAAACATTAGTCCTGGCGTTAGCTCGCGACACACATTTTAAAATGTCAGTTGGAATATAGGTCGTTATTGCTAGTGTTACATATCCACTATTTGGGGGAATTATGAGCCGTTTCTCGGAGTGGCATTAATTTCAGATTTAGAATACATGGTTTGTAAAGGTAATCCTTAAATCCCAACCGGTCCATCTCTGCCGTTTACCGGCCTTCAAATAGCTGCCACGGAATGCCGTGTTACCGATTGGCCGTCACATGCACGAACGTTGAGGTTGTTTCAGGACTATTGTTTCGAGGCAAACGTCTGAGCCACTCACTACTCCGTCGAAGTAACGAGGCAATATTAGCTGACATCGAGACGTTATAACGTTAACGATCATTTTGGTAACGGCTAATCGCATATCACTGTGGAACACGAAGTTATGTCACATTGCTCACTTAGCCGGCCACGATTACTACCGTAGAAAACAAGCTAACGTAAGCGGCAGACCGTCCCTTTGTTCACACGAAATGGCCTGGTTCCGCGTTAGAAGTAAATATCTCTCAAAAACGAAGTCGAAACGCACCCTCAAACGTGTGCTCAACGTGGTCGGCGAAACAATTCGAGTGAGGCCGGTTTATAAATATATTCGAATATAACTGTCAACGGTTGTCAAATGTTGTCCATATTCAAGGGCCTAGCTACTTATAACAGCGATGGTAGCTCGTTGGCTAACGAAGCTACGCTAGCTATTTACATGGCTGAAGGGGCAACCCAAAATGTCCGCCGTATATTTCCACGGATTTCTTTGGACATTTGAGTTTTCTGTTTGACGAAAACAACGGAAACGCCGACATGTTTACTTTTATCCTTACGTAATGTTTGGTCCCAATATATGTTATGATGTGCGACGGCTGTTTGTGCTCGCTGGCTTTAATCCAACCACATGGTTGAGCCCTAGTTAGCTACTGCGCTAACAAGCCAGCTGGGCTCGCTGCATGCTAACGTATCCGGGCGCGACTCTACCACGTGTGAACGCTCAAGTACTGAGTAGTGCGGTTTAAAATGGGGCAGTAGGTCTGTAGTAACTCAACTTTGAAATATCAGTGATCACAGCGCAGCATCGTATTGCTGCATCCATCTTAAATATGCGCACTAACGCAGCTCTATAAAACAAATGCACTGATCATTTGGATGATTACTAATCTTGCGTTCCACACTAGAAATAGCGCAGTCACTACTGGGCCATAATGCGCTTGGTTCATACCACACACTAAGTGCAGCTGGCACAGGGCACCCCTAAGCACCAGGATCTATAAAAGGGTGACAGTTGGGAGTTAAATATAACTTCCACATTATCTGGCCCTGGTTTGTTTTTCATCATCTGTCCCTGTTTGATTCCCTTTCTGTTTCTCATTGATATTGTGAGCCATGGACAAGCTGGTTGGAAGGTTTAGTTGTACCCACAATATGCTATCCCAACAGTGTAATATTGTAAAGGAAATGACTGAAGCTTAAACTTGGGTAATCATTTTCTTTTATTGTGCCTTGTTGCAGCAACAAAAGTCTTGGGTACAGTGAAGTGGTTCAACGTCAGGAATGGATATGGTTTTATCAATCGGTAAGTGGACCCCACCCTATCCATGGCTCCTAAAGACCCTGATATCATCTGTGTGTGTGAAGGAACATTCCCAATCCTATTAAGGCTTTGATTTGCTTACAAAGCTGACCAGGCGATTTGTCTGCTGGTCTCCATGCTGTTGTTACGCACAGTACTTATCCGTACGCTTCCCGGTTTAGTGTCAATCTGTCTGCAGATATATTGTATTCTGTGGCTCAACAAGATACTAACTAGAAGTAACTGAGTGTGTACCCCCCCCAATCTTTTATTTTTAGGAATGATACAAAGGAGGACGTTTTTGTACACCAGGTAAGTTGTACGTAGTTTTATTTTCTTCATTTATGTAATGATCATGAATATGAAATCTAACCCCTGAACTGTTCTTGGTTTTAGACTGCCATCAAAAAGAACAACCCAAGGAAATACCTTCGCAGTGTTGGAGATGGAGAAACTGTGGAGTTTGACGTAGTTGAGGGAGAGAAGGTAAGCTGTGTTTTAGTTGGTAATACAATCAGTTTTTTTTACTAGGTCCAAAGTGCTGAAATTATTTTGCAGCTATTAAAAAAAGATGCATCCTATTAATTGTTCTCTCGATAATTCATTTGGGTAATTACATTTATTTCTTTATTTAAAAAGGGAGCAGAGGCGGCAAATGTCACTGGCCCAGGAGGCATTGCAGTCCAGGGAAGTAAGTACGCTGCCGACAGGAACCGCTACAGGCGCTATCCCCGAAGAAGGGGCCCTCCTCGCGCTGGAGAATACCCCGACAACTACCAGAGTGACGGAGAGGGTGAGCCACCCAACGGAGGCCGTGACAAAGGCAGTCGAGATGGGGGAGAGAGCGCCCCTGAAGGAGAAGTGCAGCAACCGCAGCAGCGCAGACCCGCTTACCCCGGCAGACGGCGTTACCCGCCATACTTTGTAAGTAGACGCTACAGCCGCCGGCCCCCCGTACACCAACTCACCACGTGGAGGGATGTCTGAGGTACGCTGTCACAGGGCTTCTGTCCAGAAGCAGGCACCCAGCAGTCCTGCCCGGGACCTTTTGATATGTTGATCTCATACACAACACCCTCTCCTTTCAACACTCACGTGGTTGTGAACAAAAAAAAAAATCTTGGTGTATCCGGGGGTCTGGACATTATCTTGCAGATTGACTCAAAATAGGCCCCTAATCTTAGCTTGGTGGCTGGGTGGCCAGTTTCATTACGTGGTTTGTTTGCTTACGTGTTGGCTTTGGAAAAAGCTTCATGTCAGTTGTTGGATGTATTTGCTTTCAGGGAGGCGAGGGCGACGAGAGCCAGGGAGGTCCTGACCAGGGCAACAAACCAGCGAGGCAGAGCTACTACAGAGGCTTCCGACCAAGGTTCATTCCCAGGTTTACGTGAGGGCTTCATTGATGCAGGGCTGCAGACAATGGAAGAGTAAAGCACTGGGCTGTCTATCAAAGAATTCTAGCCCAGACTCTACCAGCAAACCTCAATTAATAAATGCCAACTGTTTGGCCAGAGAAGCTTTCCTTTTATTGCAGCTGTGCATTCAAATTTGGCCCATGTACATTTCTTTTAAAACTGCATCTCATCTCAGTAGATGATATCACCACTTCATAGTTTCTTGATAATTCATGATTCCTTACAGCCCCTTGCTTATTGCTTGTTCACTCCAGGGGTCCCCCCCGTCCCAGACCAGTGCGGGATGGCGAGAGACCAGTGCGGGATGGCGAGAGACCAGTGCGGGATGGCGAGAGACCAGTGCGGGATGGCGAGGAGGACAAGGAGAATCAGGGCGGCGAAGATGGTCAGAACCAACAGCCCCGCCAGCGGCGCTACCGCCGTAACTTCAACTACCGCCGCAGACGTCCACAGACCAACGACAAACCCGGCCAGGAAACCAAGGAGGCCAAGACAGGAGGTGACCCATCTGCAGAGAAAACGTCCGCTCCCGAGGCCCAGCAGGGTGGGGCTGAGTAGGAAACAACCTGCCCACCGGCACCTACCATCTTTTACCATCGTCCGGGTCAGTATAAATACTTCAATGGCTGATCATTTCCATTAACTTAAATTTCACAAATATGTGGATTCAGACAGAGCTGACAAATACTAGGAAACTTAAAACATCTACATTTAACAGCTAAGCTAGCTTGTCATTTGCACTCTGTTGGATCTGTAGTAGATGATCCAAAGCATGAGGTAGTGCAGTGGCTTTGATAAAGCAAACTGTCGGGCACCGTAGAGCCCTATTGGCTCTTCTCCATAAGAGCAGCGGCTTTAGGCTTTTGATTCTTTTTCAGCTATCTGGTGGTGATGCACGCTACATGACTAAAAATGTAGCATACAGATGGAATAATTGACTAATTTTCTTCTTTTCTTCTTTACAGTTTTTTTGTCAACAACAAGATGAAACATCAAACAAGATCTGAGCAATAAAGATTTGACTTGACGATCGTCACAAGCTTGCACCATGCATTTGACCAGATTACCACCGATTGCCTGCAGAATCTATGCAGACTTGTTTTTTTTTTCCCATTATTTTTATGTGACAGCTACAAACGTTTTGGGGAAACAGCAAATGTTTTTCTAAATCTGTCCTAAGTTTTTACACCAAATGGTTTTTAAAGAAAAAAAAATGGAATTTGATAACTGGTCAGTTTGACATTTTTAAATAACTTTTTATGTATTCAAACATTTTAACAAAATGCAAGCTCAAATAAAAGTCCAGAAACCAGGAAAAATGTCTTGAGTGTTTGTTTTATATTTCAAGTAAATGGGCTCTTAACAATGACACAAATTGAAATTGTATTTCAGTTAACTAGTATTTATTTTTCGTTTTGAATACAGACATAAACCTTGTATAATGCAGTCAATTTTACAATCACCAAATTCAACATTAAGCGTCAAACGGCATTTATAATGGTAAATGTTTTGCCAAAACTGATATTTCTGCGGTCACATTTCTTAATTTATTTTACACGAGGATAACAAAATTCTTATGCAGCATCTTGAAATGACACCAACACAATGTGATACAAGAATTGCATCCAACATTTAGCACTATATCAAGTTCCACATCTTGAGCTTAGGACGCATGAAAGCAATATGTAGGCAATACAGTTTAAGCAACTTCTCATACAATAGCGCATGTATACAAAAGAATTTAAATTTGTAGCGCCTAGATTTTGTATTCAAACCTAGGCCCGAGGCTCATTTTTTACTACAGCAAGTAAGTTTCAATTTACATTCTCACCAAATACAGTGCATCCGCAAAGTATTCACAGCGCTTCACTTTTTCCACATTTTCTTATGTTGCAGCCTTATTCCAAAATGGATTAAATTCATTATTTTCCTCAACATTCTACACACAACAACCCATAATGACAAAGTGAAAACTGTTTTTTGCAAATCTATTAAAAATAAAGAACGAAAACATAACATGTACATAAGTATTCACAGCCTTTGCTCAATACTTTGTTGAAGCACCTTTGGCAGCAATTACAACCTTAAGTCTTCTTGGGTATGATTCCACAAGCTTGGCACACCTATTTCTGGGTAGTTTCTCCCATTCTTCTTTGCAGAACCTCTCAAGTTCCATCAGGTTGGATGGGGAGCGTCGGTGCACAGCCATTTTCAGATCTCTCCAGAGATGTTCAATCGGGTTCAAGTCAGGGCTCTGGCTGGGCCACTCAATGACATTCACAGAGTTGTCCCGAAGCCACTCCTTTGTTATGTTGGCTGTGTGCTTCAGGTCGTTGTCCTGTTGGAAGATGAACCGTCGCCCCAGTCTGAGGTCCAGAGTGCTCTGGAGCATGTTTTCATCGAGGATGTCTCTTTACATTGCTGCATTCATCTTTCCCTCAATCCTGACTAGTCTCCCAGTTCCTCCCGCTGAAAAACATCCCCACAGCACGATGCTGCCACCACCATGCTTCACTGTAGGGATGGTATTGGCCAGGTGATGAGCAGTGCCTGGTTTCCTCCAGACATGACGCTTGGCATTCAGGCCAAAGAGTTCAATCTTTGTTTCATCAGACCAGAGAATTTTGTTTCTCATGGTCTGAGTGTCCTTCAGGTGCCTTTTTGCAAACTCCAGGCGGGCTGTCATGTGCTTTTTACTGAGGAGTGGCTTCCGTCTGGCCACTCTACCAAACAGGCCTGATTTGTGGAGTGCTGCAGAGATGGTTGTCCTTCTGGAAGGTTCTCCTCTCTTCATAGAACAACACTGGAGCTCTGTCAGAGTGACCATCGGGTTCCTGGTCACCTCCCTGACTAAGGCCCTTCTCCCCCGATCGCTCAGTCTGGCTGGGCGGCCAACTCTAGGAAGAGTCCTGGTGGTTCCAAACTTCTTCCATTTCCGGATGATGGAGGCCACTGTGCTCATTGGGACTTTCAATGCTGCAGAAATTTTTCTGTACCCTTCGCCAGATCTGTGCCTCGATACAATTCTGTCTCGGAGGTCGACAGATAATTCCCTGGACTTCATGGCTTGGTTTATGCTCTGATATGCACTGTCAACTGTGGTACCTTATATAGACAGGTGTGTGCCTTTCTAAATCATGTCCAATCAACTGAATTTAGCACAAGTGGACTCCAATCAAGTTGTAGAAACATCTCAAGGATGATCAGTGGAAACAGGATGCACCTGAGCTAAATTTTGAGTGTCATGGCAAAGGCTGTGAATACTTATGTACATGTTATGTTTTCGTTCTTTATTTTTAATAGATTTGCAAAAATTTGCAAAAAACAGTTTTCACTTTGTCATTATGGGTTGTTGTGTATAGAATGTTGAGGAAAATAATGAATTTAATCTATTTTGGAATAAGGCTGTAACATAACAAAATGTGGAAAAAGTGAAGCGCTGTGAATACTTTCCGGATGCACTGTACATGTACAGCACCAGGATAGTGCTGTACGAGTAGAGTTATCTGCCACTGTTGACCAGTAAGTCCTGCTATAGCAAATCTCCATTCTTTATTGGCTACACATATAGAAAGTGGACAAAAGCACATATATACAATAGCTCTGCAATAAAACATTTTTGATGGAGATATAACTTGATGTTTTAAAATTGGTTTGGACAGAATGACAGAGAGTAACATAAACCATGGACACTGGCTGGATCCAACCCAGGTACCTCATGGTCACATTGTATACACCTTAGACCACTTAGATCAGTGTGTTGTTGACGGACGTCTGGACCACTGTGTTCAGTATGATACGCAAGCAATGCAGTGTCACCAATTTACCGGAAGGGGTTTTTGTTATTTTGTCCACTGTACATTCCGAGAGTCGCTCAAACGTTGGTCTCTTTGCGCAGCCGCTTCATGCGTTGCACATTGTTCTCGATGGCCGTTGGGTTGGTGATCTCTGTGGCACAGGTGGCAGGAAACCAGCCTCTCTCTCCATCTCGCATTCTCTCCCCGTAGCTCCATGCTAGGAAGAGCAGACGGTTAGCTTTTAAGTACCCTTGCATGCTTTTAAATGAAGTATAGGTAGGCGGCTCACTGACTGAGCATGAGGGTCTGGATGTGATGTATTACAGATAGATGAAGCTTGGATGTGATGTATTACAGATAGATGAAGCTAAGTACACACACACACACACCTTCCTCTTTCTGCAGCACGATGACAAGCTCAGCCTGTTGCAGCCCCAACTCATCTGGCTCTTTCGGCATGTAGGCTTTGGTGGCCTCACACTGTGGAAGACCTTAAAAACATTCCCATAATGCAATGTGATTCATGAAACCAACACTTTTAACTGACTGTCAACAAACCGGTTGTCTTTTCTGTAAAAACACAACCTGTCCCACACTGATGAATATCTAGAGCACATCTTTTTAGTTCCTGGAATGTGTCAATTGGCCTGGAAAGGCACACCCTTTGATAACATCAATGTCACTTAAAACAATTGCTGCTACACAAACAGAAAGTGTTGGTGCTGCTTGTGTGCTTATGTTCTTTATATGTATTTAGTTCATCGTAAACCCAAAGTCAGGCTTCACATAGATCAAGAAAATGTTAAGTAATAGTTGAAAGATCTGGAATAGAAGGGAGAGCCTATTCAGCTCTGGTATGTATGTAAATAAGATTGCATTTAAAATAGCTGCAGACTCATTAGAAATGAAAAATGAAAATGAACCATCTGTTTTCTGTGCAGCACACTGCCTTCCATAACAAATGAATAATTTACAAATGAAAGGCAAGAGAACATTTACCACTTTTAACAATGACATGCCCTCACTGAAAACCGATCAAGCTCAGAACTCAAAGTGTATTTCAAAGAATGACTCCCTTGGTAAATAAAGCATGCTGACTTACCATCTCGACAAGTAAAGACTCCATCCTGCTTGTGTTCAGTAAGAGCAACTATCCAGCGTGCCCGGTCATCCCTTGGCAACAGAGACAAAGAAGAACACAGTTAAATACGACTCCAGAGCTAGTGTTGCATTTTGAACATGTATTGACACAAGAAGTCTGTTTCTTACGAATGGACTCAATGCACGGGAATATTAAAACTTCTGTCAGTAGAGGGAGCCAGAAACAAAAAAATCACATTTGGTTTGCAGTCAGTTTTTTCCAAGAGGTCTCTGTGTTCAGCTCTCAGTATTTTTGTAGCTTCGAACTGAATCTCTGTGGTTTCTGGTTTAATTTATCTCATGTTCTTGTTTGTACTTCATACATTAGCCTTATATTACTGTGTACTGGTCACCTTCAGTCTTATTAGAGCTAATTCACAATAAAAGCTTTCCACTGGTGAACTGGCAAGATGCTTTTATTGTGAAGAAGTCACAGGAAATGCAATGTGAAAAGCACCTTTATATACTCATAATACTTAAACCTTGTGTTTTTCAAATTCCCACTTGAGGAATGTACAGTTATGTACAGTTCATGGCTGAAGGGAGGTGAGAGCATGGTTACCTGGACTCGGCCACCAGGCAGATGTGCTCCGCTTTGCCCTCACTGTTCTTGCTCATCTGCAGCTTGAAGGAAAGATAGTAGCTGTTCTTGCCAGGCGAAGACACTCGTCCTTCTGCATCCTCCACGACCTCCACCTCCACATTCTCCAGAGTGGCGTAGTCCATCACCACAAAGCTCTCCTCACTGGATAAACAAACCGTTTTTTTACTCAAATGTCTATTTAAAAGATAACTTTGATCAAATTGTGCAGGAACGTTAACAGAAATATTTTCATTTTCACACATTATAGTGTAGCTAAACCTAGTCACTATTTTATTTTTGTGCATGGGTGTACAACGAACACATTCAAACCACGTTGCTTGACCATCTGCTGATACCATTTCCTAGATATTATCACCTAATGACTGGGTCGCAGTGTCAACTTAACAACCCTGAAAATGACTCCAGTGTTGTGGGCAGCTCCTTCCTCTGTGTTGACATTGTTTGGTTTCTCCCTAACTCAAAACAGAGAGCTGTAGTCTGTCGAGCTGCCATGCTGAATGCAAGATTGAAGAATCTCAAATATGCAAGCACCAGATCCATGCTCTTTCCTTTCTCCGTCCCCTTCCTCTTGTCATTTCACTCAGTTTCTCATGTTTCCTGCCTGCCCGCAGTTGGACCCAAAGTCCCAGAGAAACACACACAAAGCTCCTGAAATGCTTCAAAACCTGGTTGTGTTTCTCAAGTTTGTCTTCTCTAGCTGCCCCCATTTTAGCAGATGCACTACTAGGTTCTTTTATCTAAAGTGGGAGCGATTTGATCGGTGAAAGTACAAATATACAATATATTAATACAACTATTAGCTTCATGCTGTGGTGACTTTGTTTCTCACGACAAACTACTCCTCATCATCTTAACTATTGGGATTATGTTGACATACTGGAGAATATTTGCAGATACTTGTATGAATTCAAATTCATACAAGAATCCCCCCAGAAAAATACTATTTTAGAATTGAAGTGCATAATATTCAAAACAAACGGTGTGTTTCAGCCCCACTGACCTCTTCTTCTTGGTGACGATCAGTACGTCGTTGAAGACAAACAGGTAGTAGCTCCTGCTGCTGAAAGCCCTCCAGATGCTGAGCTCTTCGGTGCTGAAGGCCAGCTCACCGCGCTTCTTCAGCCACCGCGATGACGACACCAGAGGAAATGGCTGCGAGGACACAAGAGTTATCACCATCGGTTCAGGTTAGTTAACTGAATCTGCATCATGACGACATGACAGGAATGAGTCCGAAGCCTTATCCAGGTTCAATTACATGTTCCTTGCTTTTTCTATCTACATCCACGGCCATCATGAGACCTAATAAGTCAAACCCTGTGAACTCTATTTTCACTTTCCTTGACGGTGTTTGAGCACAAACCACAACTTACCTTGATTTTACCAAAATCCATCTGTTTCTGGATGGTGTACATCTGCTCCGTCCTCTCCATCCGCTGAGCACCATCATTGCAGCTAGAGACCAACTGTTGAATTAACAATCAAAACAATGACATAATGATAATCGCAACTTTAAAAACACATCGACTTCATAGTGCGCTCTCAAATGCGAGATAAAGAGTGCTCTCTGAACGTCTCTCTACCTTGCTGATGGCGTGCAGTGACCAAACAGCAGCAAAGTACTCCGCTGTCTTATCTGGAGTTTTCTGGCAGATGGTCTGTGAGGCGAGAACAAAAAGGTACGAAACTTAGTTAGTACCAGTTATTTACTTCTAGACGCAAAACAACCTTCTGCACCACTATACATGCCAAGAAGCGGAATCTGGAGTTTCTAAATCATAAGGTGTACATGCACATATATGCACACATATGGTTTTTATTCATTGGTTGACTTATTTTTCAAATTTTGTAAATTCTTCTCATTTCACCCCCCCATAAATGTGTCTCTATGATACATAAATATGTGTTAGTGCCCTTTGATCTTAATAGGTGCGCAGCTTTACGAGCTTAAATAATTAACAAAATTTAAATTGTTTTTTGAAGGCTGACAAAATTGATAAACTTGGAAATAATGTGGTGAATGCATATCTGAAATGACACAAACGAAAGAAAAACAGATAAGTGGCCCTCAGCGTCCTATTTTCAGCAGCTATGCGCCTCACAATAAGTGGTTTATGTAAGAAAGAAAAGGTTATACTGACATCCAGCAGCAGTGGGAGTCTGGTGACTCTCTGCATGGGAAGGATCAGGAAAGAGATCATGGGCAGGCCTCCACAGTCACTGCTCCCCTCGATCTGCTTCAGGGCCTCTTTGAACGCAGTGTTACTGGTCCTGATAGACGGAAAGAAAAGGCGGAAAGTTCAGCTCATCCTGCCGTGTCGCTGCAGAAACTCGGATTGTTACAGTTTGTTCTGCTACTCACAGCAGCTTCTGCAGCGTCCTCTGCTGAAATGTCTCATTGGAGCAGTAGACGATGTAGGGCTCAAAGTGGTGGGCTGCGTGGTTCTGAACAATATCGCTAATGTCCCGGATCACTGGGTTGTCATAGTGACGCCGTTCAAGGTCCTCGAAAAACCTGAAAATGAAGCGAGAGGGGGAGGTTGGTAAAGAAGTGAAAGGACTGTGTTTCTCCTCCCACAGACTGTTTACCTGAGCAGGACACACAGCTGTGCCGGTGAGTTCAGGCTGAATGTGGTAACTTCTCGGTTTTGAATCTCAGGTTGTTCGTATGTGATGATGACACTTATCAACACACTGGTACCTGGGGTTCTATCTGGCTTCGTCGAAAGAAAGTTGTTCAACTTAAAAATATATATGTTGTATTAGAGTCTATCACATGGTGTATTCCCTGTTAAACAAAGTAAAGTTTGTTGTAATGTTAAGTTTCATTCTGTAACAATTGTGTCACTGGAGGAAGTTATTTGAGTCATTTTGACAACAAAAGGCGTCCGTCTTCATTTAACTCAATGGACTCTGAAAATCCTGAAAGCACACAGACTGATCATTTCAAGCTGCCAATACAATAAAATACTAAACCTATGCAAAATGTAACTTTCTACTATAAGATCCAGGGGAACCCTTTTGCCAAAGCATTGTAAAGGCCTTCCATTATTGGATATTACAACATCATAAATGACATTCAGCCCTGCCCTTGCGAAGTGCCTTTTTGACAAAAAGCTGTAAAATGACACCTGGTAAAACAGCCCAGCCCAGGAAGCAAACATTCACACACAGATACTGTAAGTCAGGTCATACAGGAGCTCCTGAGAAACCCTCTGCCTTCTAGTTTCATACATCCTGTTTTACTTGGAAACAAAGAACAACAGGATCTAAAACTCTCTCTCTCTATCCATTTTCATTCAAATGTATGTCGCCAGCAATGCACAAAGCAATACGGGCTGCTCTCATGCACATTATCATCTTAAAGCCCGGGAATAACACTCAGAGCAGTAGAACCAGTTTGGCTGGCGTGTTTTAACATGTTGATGGGGCCTACGGGATACAAAAGACATAAATACTCCACCTGAAACTTTAAAACAACCCATTTTCTGCTTCAAACCCCATCTCATTGGGAATACAACGTTAACCGTATGACAAAAAACACTCAATGTGCAGCCCCATTTCAAATCTGTAGAGACAGTATACAGATAACATCATCAGATCCTGTTTTCCCACTCGTTGGCACTCGTTTTCCCACACACACACACACACACACACACACACACAAGTAAGACGATGTTGCACCCACCTTTTGCTGACCTCCTGAATGACAGAGATGTTGGAGAAGAGGTGATGGTACTCTGTGGCTGTCATTGTTTTCTTCAGAGCTTCGCTACTCTTGAAGTGACGCACCAGGATGCCCAGGCTGTGCTGGTACGAATGTTCTGATGTGATGATCTCAAAAATGGCCTGTCAAATGAACACACACGCCCAAATAAGTGTGAATGTGAAGAACTCGCATTGGCAACCTGAAAAAAACCCCAGAGAAATGACCTCTACTTTCTGCACTCAAATAGGAGTTTACACCGATAAACGGAGCAAAGCATTAGTGACGTTCTTCAAGATCAAGAAAGTGCTACAGACATGTCCCTGACACGAAGTAAAACATATGCTGTGGCTGCAATGCATTGTGGTCTATTGAGGCTGCGGTTGGTGGAGAAATCTGTAGTTCTGCTGTCCTCTATGATAAACCATTTTGTTCCAATTTTAAACGTGTAGGGAGAATGGTGGATTTGTTACTGAGTGACACCAAAATCCGACATTTACTGGTGATGTTTTAGACGCCACTGACACTTCACATTGTAATTGTTGTGGTAATCGTTTGCCAATTATCTAACAGGTATCAGAAGCATATACCAGCAGACAACAAAACATATCAGCAATTTGTAGCAGTGTGGAAGTACTTTTCCCTGTATGACAGTATTATTATGAAATGGAGGGCGTAATTAACTTCTGCTGACTGTGGTCAGGATCTTAGGTGATCTTACACACTCCTTCACTTCCTGTAAAGGTGCAGTGGCTCAGGCAGGAGCAAAGGGCATTAGCTAGCTAGGCTAAATCAAGATCACTACTTCCTGAAAATCTCCCGCCAACAGCAGGAAATTGTCACAAAAGAGTGGTACACGATAGTGCACCTGGTGGACCCGGTAAATGCGTTCATGTCCCTAAATAGCAGCATTAAATTGGCCATGGACGGCTGCCATTCTGCTGAAGCACTGAAACTAAACCCATCAGGTACAAAGGAGCGAGACGAGCACCAGCTCAGCACACGGAATCAGTGTGATCACACTGGCAGGGTGCGGCTTTGTTTAAGGACTGTAGTGCACACAGGGTGGACCTTTAGTATCAACACGTCTGTTGTTGGACTGCCAGTGAAAAGAGAAATCTGACCGCCTGTGTTCAATGCTTTCTTGGAGTTATTTTGTAATGAGCTGTACCTGGATTTGTTGTTATACCTCAACTTGTTATGTCTACTTCTGTTCAGGGAAGTCCTTTGATTCCTCGAAAGCCTTTTAACAAAAACTCTGAGAATGAGTTTTAACCTGTTGCCAGACAAATTTGGCAGGTGTGGGATGAAAATTAATATAACTGTAAAGGACATTTTTAAGGCACACTGTTATTTAACAGAAAGCCTGTATTACGAATTGGAAGTGTGTTAGGGGGGGCATTAAGGAGGCATGGGTGGTCTAATTAAAGACACTTTTGAGTTGCATTTTGGGAAATGTATGATTCTGTGTTTTAGGAGCTTGACCCATAGCTATAGCTTTCTATGATTACTGCTAGAGAATTTAATTATTCAATTAACCGTCTCTATGGCTGTTTTTCCCTCCAACTCAGTGGCAAAAAACACAGAAACAATAAATATCATGTAATCATGGTTGCATTGCATTGCATTGTAGTGTTTAAAGTCTACGGTCTGGTGAACAGTTGGTACACGAGCCTCTTCTTCTCCCTGTGTGACTGTGACTAATTCAAAACACTGAGTATAGAAAGAAGAAAACACGTTCGGCCGTTGAGCTGCATCAGAGCTGTCCTGCTTCCTGCAGCACATTAAATCCCTTCTAGGACATTACTGTTGGCATACTTGGTATGCATACCAGCACACACACGCACACACTCACACACACACACACAGGCAAACACACAAACTAACCTCTTGTCTCTTTCTCTCCTGAGGTGAGATCAATGTCAGGATACCCGTGTCCCTCACCTTTGTACAAAATAAAAATAAAACCAATGTTTAACTTATTCTGCTGTATATTCAAGATATAATTTGTTTTGAAAATCGTAAAAAAATGTTTTTTATTGTCAACAACTCCAGCCTGTCAGAACAAGCTCGGTGGGTATTCGAACATCTAGAGCAAACATAGCCAGCATTTCTACACAGGGTCACGGAGTGTGGGAGTTTATGAAACAACAAAAACATGCAAGAAGCTTTTATATTGCACCCTTTTAGATAAAAGGAAAAATCCAGCTGAAGTTTAGGAGCAAGAAGGACATTTGATCAGAAGACAAACTGTTCTCTGATAGATCTATGTTTTTAGTGCACTGGTACACAATACCTACTTTGATTGTCAGTGCAGTTAAAAAGTTTACCTGTGGTAGCTGGCTCCAAGTGAGCTGTGCCGGCCGGTAGCTCTTCACCACGATGCCCTGGTCCTCCACCGCCACGGGAGCCTCCACCACCACAAAGTCGTCCAGCAGCTCGTCCTGGTTGGTGGAGTGCAGCCCTCGCTCACGGATCTCCTGGTAGAGGCGCGGAGTAGCTGAGGATTTTCCACAAACACGGCTTAGGTTTCAATTCAGAGTCTCAGCGTGCGATGATTTTGGAATAGAAGCAGGAAAAATGCTTTGCAAATTCCTGAACAGCACAATTTAAAGGGTGAAATATTTATCTCACACAATGGGCTCATACATGAAGGATTCGGATGTTATTCACCCATAAGTCCGTCGAATGAATTGAAAGAAGTTAATTGCAGGTATTTTGTGAAAAATGAAAGGCTAAAGCAGAGTTGGAGTCTGTCAAAATAATAACACGAGTCACTTTGAGAATTAAAGCGTGGGAAGTGAGAATGCATCACTTTGTAAAAAAAAGAAGCTAATTGGGAGTTAGATTTAAACGCAGGCTTTTGCCTGCAGTGCGTCGTTACTGGAATGATCCCGAGACCATTCAGGTCACAGGTTTGATTCTCACGGAGATAAATGTGCCGGTGAAAGACGATTCTTGCGTCTTATGTTTTTTTTGAGCAGCAGCCCCAGTGAGATATCAGCTCAACAGGCAGACAAACAAAACTCTTCAATAAAACCTCCTCAATTCTGCATGATTATACCTGGAAAATGACTCAAAATCATATTTGGAGAAGTGGCATTGTCTGAAGGCACAGGACATCAATAGTCAAGACGTAACAATCTGGCATTCAGCATGAATGGTTTCCTGTTCTGTCCTCTCAAGAGATCTTTTGTAAGCCATGTCACAGATTGTATCCATATGTTATTATTATTATCATTTTCATTAAAAAAGACAAATGTTATTTCCCATGTATTTGTAGTTCTATAGCCATATTTAGCGAAGTGGACAGAGTGACACATGGGGAACATACCATCTTTGAAGGACCCACGATGATTCTGGTTCCTCTTTCTCCCCAGGGTGCGCTGTAGGGGAGACAGCAGTGCAGCCTGAGTTTCACACTGTGGAATGCATGTGCCTCAATAATACTCAGCTTTTAATTAGATATTCTTTTTCTCCTAACATCTCATTCTCTCTTCAGCACTGCCTTTTTCTTCCAATCCTCAAATGTAGCATTTTTCCAGCGTACTCTGGTAAAAACACTCTTGGGTGTGGAAGATAGGAAACAGTTGTGGAAACACGGCATCATCACTATGACTAAAGGAGGATTTGACAGAAGTCACCGCCGATGCCATTGGCTATGCTGGCTGAGACCTATGAGGCTAAAACTGTATCAGCAGGGCTCTGTGTTCGTCTGATCATTCAGCCAGTTGCTTCTGACAGACCTCAATTACTGAACACTCATAATATCCAACAGATAAGTGGATTAAAATATATTTTTACACTATTTTTTTTGCCACCTGCAACTGCAAATTCTATTAAATCAACTATGAGATAAATGCCTCAAATGCCCCCCCACCCCACCCCACCCCACCCCCACCCTGTACCTTGCGTCCAGGGCTGCGACCTGCACCAGGACTGACTGCTCTGTCCTCTCTGACAGGTTTCAGCGTGGCTGCGGCCCCTTGTCTCGACGCCATGGCTTCAATGTCCAGGCTGGTCACCGCCGCTCTGTATGACTTGTTCCTGCGGTTCCTCCTCAGAGCGAAGCCTTCTCCATCACTGTCATAATCCTCCCAGGACACATCTGGCCCCTGGGTTGAGTGGCGGCTGCGGGTCACACTGCTGGCGTTCTCCAGTCCCACTGGGAACGTCACCACAGTGGTGTGGTGGCGGATTTTAGGCCGGCTGGCTAAATTCTTGGGAATGAGCTGGTGCTTGCCAACCTTCTGCGCGGCAGGACTCTGGGTGCTCAAAACCACCAGCTGAGGTACAACCTTCCTGTCTACCTCATCTTCCTGGGGTGTGGCTGTTTCAGATTGGGCCGTGGGGGGGCTTTGTGGCTGGCAGCGGTCATCACCGGGCTCAGATATATGGAGTACTGTGGAGAAGTGGCGCTCCAGAACTAGAGGGGCCTGGTCGCCCTTGTAGCTGTTGGACATGATGTCCTCCCAGCGTCACCTCGGCCTGGTCTACTGAGATCTTCAGCACCTACAACATCGAACGAGTCTGAAGAGGAGGGACAAAGAGCCAGAAGAAAGTCAAACTACAGGCAGGGAACATGTAGAAACTAGCAAATTGGATGGAGACATGGGGAAAAAAACAACAGGGGTAATTAACCCCTGATCCAGTTCCCCACTCACACACTCAGCCTGTCGGTCGGACGGACGAAGCAGCCAGTTGTGTCCGTCCTCAAACTCATATCAAGGGACTCAACCCGTGACTCAGCGCTCACTCCCACACTGCACTTGCCCACACACAAGCACACAGAAAGACCTGCTCCAGCAAATCTGCGCGCTACAGAAACTACATGAAAAAAAACCAAACACTTTTCCTCTGATAAATACTCCTAACCTGCCCTGTGCAAAGACTGTTATGTCAAGTGCAGACACACAGGCACGATGTATTGCAGTCTTATAAACATGTCATTATAGTAACAGTCTTAAAATTCCCTTCATGACAGAGATGATATAACAATAGCTTTAACTGCATTTTTAAAACACACACTGTTATGACACCGACGGTGAAATAAATCAGGACGGTATTTGCTTTTTTTTTTACCTGTTAAGTCGCAGTCTGAATTTTCCAATAACTTCGCAGCCCAACAGAGGGATTAGGGTGGGAACAAAAATGTCTGCCTCACATTCCCATGGTTCTTAACAGTGAGGTGAAACGCGGTTCAACAAATATTAAGTTCAACAGCTGCCTTACCTATGCGAGCCGACCTTACGAACACCAGCCTTCTTATTAAACGAGCCTATCACGAGTGAGTCCGGTGGTTTCTAAAGAGAGGTGCTGATCGGTGCAACTCCAGCAGCAGACGTGATCCTCCTCCGCTCCACTCGGTCACAGATTTCTCCGCATCCGCTCACTTCCTCCTCGGTCTGCAGGCGCCTATTAAGCCGCGTTGCCTACGTCACTACAGGTGAGTGTCAATCAATCATGGAACCCTGGCAGGTAAAAGCCGATAGCAACGGACGCAACTTATCACAGTGTTTTTACTTCAGTGTTTCAGTTGCGCGGGACCACTTCACACATCAACTTAGCCAAATAAAAAAAACTGCTTTCAATCAAATGCATTTTAAAACGCCGAGTTGAGTTTGACCTGGCCACATAATTCTGATTATTTTGCAAATACAGAAAGACATGTTTTTTTTTGTATAATTATATATATATATATATATATATGTATTTTTTTTTTTTTTATCTCCCAATATTTCTCTGTACCTGACTTTCTGATGTTTGTTGTCGTCCTTTACCTGATTGTTGACAAATAGCTCTTTGCCCCCCTCTGGTGACAAACAGGAGGAACTACAGCCTCGTCACTGATTATGTTACGCTGCATGTAGACAATACATGGTACATTAAAATCATTTCAAAGGCTTCCCCACATTCCAGAAATATTTGGTTTGAGTTTCATACAGGTTCTTTTAAAGCAGTAACCAGTAAATAAAGTCAAAAGTGTCTGAAACGCTCCTGCATGTAACATAGATCTGCAGAACGTTTTTGTTAGTTTATTCATTTTCGTAGTTGTTTCCTTGGATATTACCATTTTTTCCAACTTTAGCATCATCATTATTTTGCCAATAGTGGTATGTTAGATGTAGTCATTTAAATCCAATTCAGATACATAATTTCCCTACTTTTCAAGTGGAATGTTCCTGATATTGGAGTTAAAACCCATAGTCAGTTTCCTGAAAGCCTAAATATCCCTCTATAACTCAGTCCAATACAACAGCACAGTCCTCAAAAATGACCTCAGGAGAATCAACCTCAACAAAAACATTATAAGCTTCAGGTAACACAAACACACTCTGAAGTTGTTTGGTGATTAAAGATTTATTGTCTTCATTTTAACAGTCTGAAAATATAATTATACATGAATTAGCCAACATTCTATTCAAGCAAGGCTGAGACATGTAATATAATGCAATATGGAAACAATGAAACAACAAAAATCTGAGAGGGTCACTATATACAGAGTTTAAATATATATATATAGAAAATCAAATGGCAATGATGTTTACATCATTTTTAATTTCAGCATCATATGGCATCCGATGAAAGTGAATTTCAATATTTCCAAATGATTCCCCAACCAGGACCATGTCTTTCATGACATGTGTACGCTTGATACCCTACTTCTGCAAAACTGTACATCCAACATAAATGTAGTTACCATAGGGACTCATTTCCAACGTGTGGGAACACTTATGTGTCACGCTCGGCAAGAGACATCCGACATGATGGTGAGCTTCAGTTACTCTTAATTCATGCTCTGCTCACATTGCAAATGTTACCCACAAACATTCAACACAGCTTTCCCACATTTCAATATTTAAACCCAAATCCAAGCCCAACAGATGTGTGAATCCTAGGAATGTTTGAAAACCTGGAACTGGAAGAAACGGGTTAGAAATTATAAATAAAATTAGCTGTATAATTATCAACCTTCTGTCACTTAACAAGTATCTACCCGAATGTGAATTATACAGTACATTGTGTAAGTCTGGTTCACCTTATTATAATCAGATGTTTGAGTATTGGAACCGGACTCTTCACACTTGCAGCTGCAGATCATGAATACACAGCTGACGTTATCTAAGGAACAGCACATTTTAATGTTACGGCTGTTACTTGCAGACAGAGAACAGTCTGTATTCTGCAAGCAGATCTGCTCATCAAAGATTTATCCTCCAGGTTAGTGGGGCGAAGGTCGGAACAGGACGCAGGACAAACTGATGTCTTCTCTCTACCTTCGCAATATTCAGTGTGCAGATGAGGCATCTGGATGCTGCACTTCACATGGGCATGTTCTTCTTGTTGTTGTTTTAGAAAGGCCATGTTCAAAAAGAAACCTAGCAGGATTGTTTGTTTGTATTTTGTTTTTCATTGAAATTCTAGAGTCCTGGGTCCAAATATGCTTAATAATACATGACAACATGCTCGATGCACACATGCACGCAACAATTCACATTCATGATCACAACAGCTTAACATTTAGGTCACATATAGAAAAACTTAAATTGGTTCATTTTTCCAGTGATATTTTGTAAAATTCAATTTGCACAGCTACAGAATCTTTACATTATTTAAATTATCATATACACCAATAGTCCAAATGACAACACACTTACCTAAAGAAACAGAGTTAGTTCGAGCACTGTTAGGATTACAGCTCTGGCAGTAAAATGAAGTAATTTAGAAAGTGCTTCGATGAGCTTGATGAAAAAAAAAAAAAAAAAAAAATCCCATGACTAAGATATGATATTGTCTACATACAGAATGCATTAGCTGCTTCAGGGTTTAATAAGCATTTGCCGAGTATGTCCATGCCACCTTCAGGTGACACAACTGTAATAGAGCTACTTTTCCATTTATTACATAATGGTGAGTATGGCTAATGGAGGGAAAATAGACATGCAATGACCCATGGCAAAATGCTCACCAGTAGCCCGTTTCAATCTATCCCACACCTGTTTGTTTCAGCAACTCTTCTATGGGAAATAGCTGCGATTGATTTAGAGGAAAGCAAGTATAGATACTACAAGATAACCTTAGTTGAGTTAAGGACACATTTATAGCAAGCGTCTTAAGCGAGGAGAATCAGCGCATTGTCATAGTTATTGTTAGCACTAAAAGACCAAGAGTTTGTGTCAATGAGACTTTCAGTGGAGGGCGGTGAGTAATGCCACCCACGCTGAGCCTCAAAGCCGGTGTGGACAGCAGCAAATGGTCAGTATGGTCCTGTGTTTCTGGAGGTCGAAGACAGGGTGCAGAGGAGACAAGCTCTCCCCCGCTGTCCAGTATACAGTGCAGGGTGGAGGATCAGGGATGGGGAAGGTGTTCAGTGAAGGCCTTGGGGGTGGGTGTGGGAGGGCGGGGGATTGTAGGGAGAGAGACGGCCCAGTTCACTGTTTGGCTATATCCCCTTTCTTCAGAATGATCTGTCGCTGCCAGGGGGCCAGCTTGGTCTCGTCGTAACCCAGGTTCCGTAGTCGCTCCAGCTCCGTCTTCTCCTCCATATCTTTCACCTGTTTGGCCTGCTGCTCCACTTTTCTAGATGCATCCATGAAGAAAGGTGGACAAAGGGCCAGAAGAAAAAAATAGAAGTTAGAATTATGATGGAAGCTTTTTATAAGGTTTTCTTTAAAAGGGAATTTGTTAATAATAGGCCTTCTAAAAAATCTCACATCAAACCAGTTCATATATTAGAATATAGAAACAATTAGTACTCTAGTTTGATTCTCTAATGTGTCTCTTAGTCATGCATCTTGTTCTCTATTATTACTCTATTATTACACCACATGGCCAAAAGTATTTGGACACCACCATCTCATTCAAAAAGTCTGGAGTCTGGCTCGTATGGGGGGTTGAGATCAGGGATTCCTGCTGGTCAGTCTAGTTCTTCAAAACCAAACTGGAAACACTATGGACCTGGCTTTGTGCGCTTGGGCATTGTCACAACGAAACTGGAGAGGGCCTTTGTCACAAAGCTGGGCTTAAATAACGCTGCATTAAGATGTCTCTTCACTGGAACCAGAGGACAAAGCCCTCACCATAAAAAAGTACATTGTGCTGTGTGTGGTGGACCAGACTGTCCACATACTTTTGGTAATACGGTGTATTTCATACACAGTATAAAGCAGTAATACAAAGAATTGCGTAACATTACGTCACTCTGTTGATATAATGGGATGGGCTGCTCAGCACATGTGGGAATAATTAGCAAGACATTTAAAACGCATGGAAATTATAGCGGCAGTTGATTGAACCCGAAACACCGAACCTTCGTAACAGTCAGCTTTGCTAAGTTAACTCTCCTAAAGTACTAAAACACGGCAATGTCAGCAACGTATTTCGATTCCTTTCATATCAGTAGATTTTAGACAACACTCGTAGGCATATCTGCCATTACTTACTCCATATTAATATATATAACATAACTAGAACAGCCCGCAGGAAGAGTGTTTTAAGGCCCCAAAACACAGGTGAGTGGGTTGTATGGAGGACTACTTTCAGGCGTTAGCATGAGCCTAGCCATAGCACCGGTGTTACGGTTTATCAAGGTAACAGAGCAACTCATAGTGTTTGGCCACAGGTTAATTAGTAAAGATATGGCCAAGAGTTGTTTCTGTGGTTTAACATTGTGTTAGTTTTGATTCATCTATATAATAATCCTGTGTTTAAGTGTTTTACCCGAACAGGCTTTATCACCACACCATGACATAATGTGACCATTTGTGGCCACTAGATGGAAGACTTGATTTCAAATGTTTCGTCTCCAGCACAGTTATGAAATTCAGGAGACTTGTTTCTCCAATCATCAAGGTTAATGTAAATATTACTGTGAGGAATAAATAATGTCTTCTTACCTTTTTTGTTCCCTGCCACATCAGGAGGACATAAGCAGAAGAAGAAAAGGTGTAAATATCTCAAACGGCAACAACAAGTTATTCAATGAGTCAAAACAAGTAGGACATTACTATAAGACTGACCAATGACAAAACAGAACAGGGGATGTTAAAAAACCAACAGTGAGTGGAGATGACTGCAATGGAACACTTACATACGCTATACAATAAGTAAGAAATATCTTTCTAAACGGATCAACACAACGTTTCATACAACACCGTAGAGACAGATGAAGACTGTAGCACACAATTTTCAGAAGATTGTAACGGAACAAATTTGTCATCTTTTCTTCCAGACGTCTCACGTTCTGTCATTTCATAACTAAACCATCTCGAGTTAAATGCCATCTAATACTGGAGATCAAACCCCATGCACCAGTCAAAACACTTTTGTTTAGGTTTAACACTTAGACCCCAGTGCAGGTACCCTAGATTTGTATAATCTCATCCTCATCTAAATAGACACTGGCCACTTTTCTTAAAGGAAAACTTTGCTTACAAACTATCTTAACACATGTCTGTGCCTCAGTAAACTGTACTGCTTGAGTTGCATTAATGCGAATAAGGCTTCATAATATATGTCTTTGTACATACTTTGTAAATACGAGCACTGGTGCCAGAAATGCTAGATCTGGCACCAGAAACAAGACTGAGTTCTGCAGTGAATCAGCAGATTTTCTTTGAGTGAATATAATCACTGATAATAAATGTCCACATCAACTGCATGCAATTATTGAAGCTAACAGGCGTCAGGCAGGGCATGAAATACTGCTAATGAAAAGGATCAGTACAATGGTGTTGTGTAGAAGGGCCTCTCGCAGTGCAATATCCAAGCATGCCATTCACAACTGAATGCTTATAGAGTTGAAAAACACTGACTACAGACACTTTCTGTTGTGTCAATGGGTCCATTCTATCTGGAATATATGGGACATTATGGTGGTGTAATGGTGCAGGAAATGTTTTCTTGGCACTTAGTCCAACTTAGTACTGTTTGAATTCCTCATCTCACCTGAACACTGGCCACGAAGAGATACACTTAATCAAAACCGTAGAGAACGTATACTTCCATCAAGATACTGTGTTATCTTACACTGTGATGCATCTCAAGATTGTCTCAGACACATTAGGTTTACTTCAGCATCATTTACAGGCTCCAGATCTCTCTTTGGATGAGACAACATTGATAAAACTCTGCAGGAACTGTGAGATGCTATTGCATCATCACCGAATAAATCTCTGAAGAATTTCCAGCCTGTTGTTGAATATAATTCCGGCCGAGAGAGAATCCCCACCGGTACGATACCTCGGCTCAGTCTACCTAATACAAATAATAGTAATTTTAGCATGACCCTCCCGTCCTTACTTCCAAGGTTATCTTTGTTAAGAGACACACTAAACACACTAACATATTTCAACTCAATGAGCGCAATCTCCCCCTTCTGGCCCAGGATATAATGAATATGGTACAAGATGAGACAAAAAAAACAGACGTGCAGAGCAACACGGCTTCGTTACTCACCTCTCTTCATCCATTTTCTTCTTCATCATGTCTCTCCTCCAGGCCGGCATCGATGCCAGGCGTGTAGCCTCCTCCTCATCCTGTGGAGGGACAGAGATAGGGGCCCCATGCCAGTCAGTAAAGAATTTGATCTATAACAGCTGAAATTATTAGAACAATACAAATAATCAAAAACACAATTGAATTGGTGTTCAATGCAATAAAGGGTCTCCCACAGTTCACACAAGTCACATGTGTAAAAACAAAGTCATTAATAACTCATGTTAGTTTTTAAATACTTACATCAATTTGTGTTGCAGTAAATTGGCTTTTCCGTGGTCTTACTCTGCAAAGTTATTCACTCAATAAACCTGCCTACTGAAACTTGAGTTACCTAGGGTTTCAAGGTGGTTGTAATACTATGGTGGTTGTAAGAAATTGTTAGGTCAAGGGCTTTGAAAAACTCAATCAGAGGTGGTATTGATGTGCTTCATGCTTGCAGTCTCGCATAAAGCCTCTCTACATGCTGGAGAGAGCAGGACAACACCTGCATAGCAAATCTGTAATGAAACATTAGCTCAACGTATTAGTCCAGTATACACATTCTCAAATGTCAAACCTTTGACAGATGGGCTTTATGGAACTGCGTATATAGAGCATATAGCGTACTGTGTAAACAGATGTATGTACTTACAACAGCAAATAGAGCACACATACACTCACAATAGGTTCTCTTCTCCTACTTCTGTAAAATAAGATAAAGCCTTCTCAATGGACAAGACACTGTTTTACAGGACAATTTTGGCAGATGGCGCACACAAACGGTAACTGGATCCTTTTCTCTCTTTCAGGCTGTAATCGGAGGTGGAGCGGGGGGAGAGAAAGAGGGCAGCAATCTTGGATTTCTCATCTTCACCCGACGAGATATAGATTACCCTTTCGCATTCCTCTGACTGAAGCATTTCACTTGCCCCGGCAAACATTATCCCAGGTAAGATTATATACACGGTACATTTTTAATGATTCCCCCGGGAATTACAGAGCAAGAAAAAAAAAAAATAATAAATAAATCAAAAAAAAAAAATTTGCTGATCGATTTGCTATGAAGTGTGGAAGTGCACATGTGAGTTGGTAATTAATAAAATGTCCAATTGTGGGTTGTATTGCTATTGGAACAACTTATTTACTACTGTTCATTTAAAGATGTCATCAAAGATGTACTTGTGTTTGGTACTTAAAAATGGGTCATATCCAACATTCAATACCAGCTATGTTGTATGATCAGCAGGAAAGGGACATGCACAAATAATTAGAGTGTGCAGTATTGCAGAGTTGAGTTAGTACATCCATACAAACCAACTTGCATGAGTGGAAGTAGTTCATCAGTGACTTTTTGAACCTCTAAGCTCAGCAAAGTTAGTTATGCACTGCCCATTTGACTTTCATTTAATCAGTCACATTAACATTAAGATCATTAGTGAAATCATCTTCCCTCACAACATAGGGTGTCTTTTAGAGGTAACTAGAGCCCTGAATGGAGACCAGATGAACATGGAGAGAACACGCAAACTCTGCACAAGATTCAAACCTGTCCAGTTAGAAATGAACTTCTGTTACCCAGCCTATACCCAATGGAACAAAAAAGGTTATTAGTCTTTATGACGGGTCGTCTTCCTCTGCGCCAACAGACTACATCCGTTTGAGTCCGAGGGTGTAGCCAATACATTGCAATAGCCTGGCGAGCATCTATTACAATTGATGATAGATGAAAATATTGTTTACAGGCAAGTTTCTCAAAATTTCCAATAATCCTCTGAGGAAGAAGTTCTGAATTCACTTTTATCAGCCACATTCATCTGGCTAATATTGGTGATATTCGAGAAATCATGTGCTGGTAGCAGTTGGCGACGTGTGTAGTGTTATTGCTGGCATGTTAAAGGAACAGCTTATTAGCTACTCGTATTATGTTCTTGTGTGTTGCCGTTGGTCATGAATTTGACATGCATTGCGAGTCCGATTCAGTCTTGATGTGGATACAGGCTACAACGGGATATCTATGTCATGCCTGAGCAGACCTCTGCTTAAATCAACTATAAATAGTCAGTTACACAACCTGTTGCCAGGTTTGTACAGTATAGTTTTAGATTTAATACAATCTTTCCATCTGGTTTCCTAGACAATGAAGTCAATATCAATTCAACAACTTTAACAGTCTTTGTTATGTTTTATCTGCTAATGCTCTCCATTGTCTGGACTTAGTGTTGACTTAACGGTCAATCGCATATGTATTAAGCAGTTCTGTAAATACAAATATTTGACCTTGTGCAGTGTGCAAGCTTGATGGATTACAAGTGGAACAAATGGTGGTTCTGTTCATGACTTCCACTGTAGAACTTCAATGTAGTATCAAAAACATTCACCACGCACTCAATACTGTGCAATAGCTTCACCAAATCAATGACAAATACTGTACATAAATGCAAATCTATGTATAGGCCGTTAAGTTTACCAGCTGACTGCCTTCCTTTTTGGGCTGTGAGTTGATGAAGATTCACTGTAACCTCCTTATGCCTCCTGTAAGCCACAGATAGCATGACAGCGGGTGGTGCTAAGAGGGTTATGCGAAGGTAATCTTGATGGAGACAGAAGAGACACTATGAGCATAGTGTGGTTCTTCACTGCTGGAAACGTCGCAGCCGAGGATTACGCAATCGGTGCTAGACAATATCTCTTTCATTGGTACATACTGTATATCAGATAATTGACATATTACGTCGGCCATGTTTGTCAGTTGAGTAACCGCAACAGTTGAAGTAGAATGTTTTAGGAAAGAACTACTGAAGTCATTTAATCACAAAAATGTCAACAAACTTTATTTCCATCAGGAATGTAGAAACCAAAATAATAAAGGATCACACATTTAAATGATGTAAAGCTTGAACAGATCTCTCAACAACACTCAAATTATAAACAGAGTAACAAAAATGAAGGAACGGACGATTACAATCTTTGATTTGATGTTTAACTTTAGTTGATAACAGCTTTGTCAAATTAATGCTTAAATTTGCTGACAGAAATTAGTTTTTTTTTGCAATTTTGAGCTGTGAATTACTAATGAAAAAGCTCAGATCGCTTTCTGCAAGCCTTGCATTTATTCCTGTTCATCTTTTTAGTATATAATGACAGGCACACAGTCTATAAACAAAAGCACACAGTCTCAGGCTTGAAGACAAGGGCCATCTGTGAACCACAAAGTAACCATAAACTCTTGCAAACCCATTAAAGACCTTGTTTCTTTGCCTTTGCTTTCAAACAACAAAGATCCCATAAATGATTTGAATGTGTTTCCCTCTTACTGGGTATCAAGAATGAATTGATTAGTTTTATCAAACTGTCAGTATTTTATTTCTAGTGTGCAAAGATTTACCAGTTATGTCTTTCATTACAAAGATGTCTTGAACAAACGCACTACATGACTTTTATGGCAAATCTTTTCCTTTTAATATCTTTCCTAGAAGTAGTGTGCCATGGCAGTCATATTAGATTAAAAAAGCTCTCGGTTCAGCACAATTCTAAAATATATGCTTGTAGTAAATTTGTGTCTTTTGACATCACATGCTTTCTTTTCGTCCACTTCAGCATATACAAAAGGTAAAGTCAGTACAGCTAAGTGGATGCTCTTTGCTTTTCTGCAGTTAAGTCCCTTATGTGACGTGCGCCTAATAGCTAACACACCAGATTAGTTTCCTTTCTAAGCATACTCCACTTCGCAGGTTAGTTTACCTGATCCTGCTTTTTATGCATTTCTTCTCTGGTTGTACAGGTGAACTGGTCTTTTAGTGAACCCTTAGTCCACATTATTGTTAGATATCAAAAAGCTCAGCTTCCCTCTCTTTCCAAAAGGCAAAGCTTCGGTCAATGTATCTGATGATCTCCTCATTGCTGAACTCTTTTAGCTCATAGATCACTTTAATTGAGTCTTCATTATGTTCATCCCTGTGTGGAGGTTTATCAACATCGGGTTCCTGTATCATTTTAACAGTAAGAGGCGGAACAACTTTCACTGGATCTGGTCCTGTAGTTTCTGTGGTGTCCTGCAGTGTCTCGGCTTTTGCCGTTGCATCAGTGTGTTGTTCAGTTTCGGTTGTCGAACTCTGCGTATGATCCTGCTCTGAACCTTTTCCATTAGAAACTACTGCCCCATTTGATGATATCTGCTCACTGTTTTTTAAATCCCCCCGAGTATGTTCCTCCAATGAATTCTGCAGGGTTCCCGGCACCACACACTGGCCATTGTCAGATATGGCAGCAGGTGCAGCAGGTGATGATGCTTGAGAAACATTTGATTGTGGGGCTGGTGGAGCAGGATGGGTAGGTGGTGGAGGAGGTGGAGCATGAGAAGGTGGGGGAGGGAGTGACTCCTGCATAATGGACATGTCAGGAGACATGGAATGTAGAGAAGCAGTCATCACACCTCCCCCATCAATTGAGTCTCCAAAATACTTGTGTTTTATGTCTTCAAAACCATCTGCCCAGTCTCGCTTCCCTCTCTCAATTTCCTCCATGACCTCCTTGTGAAACTGCCTTATGACCTCCCATTTATGGCTGCCAAGACGGTCAAACATCTCGTAGCACAAGAGGTGGCGGAATTTGCGCTCACTGCGAGACATGTTCATTTCCAACAACTGGAAGTATCCGAGCATGAAGAGGTCAAGGGTTAGGCTTTTATAACTCACAGGCAAGCCGTTGATGTGGGGCAAGAAGTGCTCTGGCCAGTAGATCATCTGGACACGACTCAGCCTGCGGATCTGGCGTGTGGGCACTTGACTCATAATTGTCCTCCAGTGGCCAATCAGATTCCCTACCACCTGCTTCGACTTCATGAAAAGGAGGAGTTTATCGTCTTCGCTCTGCATTTCACCACCGATCTGTGCACTAAATTGGTTGTAGTCCTCCCAGCCAACGTTTAAATGACTTCCTCTCTTACCAGTGTGTTTAGTCTGGTACGTTTCAGAGATGGTATACTTCCGCCAGTGTTCAAGGAACAGGAAGACAATTCTTTCTTTCCTCATTTCAATGCATTCCTGGACATAGCTTAGATCTGTCTGAACCTCCAAGCTTCTTGTTAATTGACCATCATTTAAAACGGGGTCTGCAGAAAGAACCTGATTGAAGTGTTCAATGTTAGTTGGAGCCATTACCTCAGAGGGCGCATACGACTTAGGAGCATGAGATGCGATAATAACTGGCTCTTCAACAAGTGGTAAGATTGATTGTTCCACTAACGGTAAATCTCCATTGGTATGGGACTGAGGGACCTCAGCAGAGGAACAAGGGACATCATCCTCACAAATTGTCTCTGGACAATAACTAGACTGACTGACCACAGGGAGTGACCTTTTGCGCATGTACACCCTATTTGCATTGCTATCTATAGACTGCTCATTATGAATTTCATAATTGGCCTTGAGGTTCTTCACTGAAACTCCACACTGCTTTATCTCCTTCTCTACATCCTCTCTTGTTGAGAAGGACTGAGATCGTCCAATTAAGCCAGTGCCAACGGATTCTCCTAGTTCCGATTGACCTGGGCTCACATTCCTCGCCTCTTCTTGAGAATATCCAGGACATATTAGATCCAAGATGTCTATCTCTTTCCCCCCCAGGGTGGCAAGAAGAATGGCCATACTCTTGAGCAGGGTAGAAATCTTGCTGCACCAGGCTGGAAGATCTTCAGCTTGGCCATGTACCTGCTTTGGATTGACTGAGAAGTGCCCTTGATTGAGGGCAGCAGAAACTGGAAGGAGCTGGTGAAGCTCCCGCTCAAGTTCTTCCAGCTCCTTCTCAACTTCTGAAACTTTGTGCATGACTTGCAGGTTCTCAATTTGTTTCTCGATAAGGTTGAGGTCATCCTCTGTCATCAGTTCCCCAAATGGGCCCAAAATGGCATTGTGGATATGGGAGTAGTGCCATTCCTGAGGCTGGTAGTGTCCGCTTGCCGCAAACTAAATCAGAGGCCAAAGGAGACCAAAAGACAAGAACAAAGGGAAGGAAGGAGGATTCCTTCAGCTCAAAGTTCCTGGTGTGAACACACGTTTCACTTCAAATCCATCTCGACACACATGATTTACATGGATTAAGTGGTGCAATGGCACTGCCTCATTACAAGCACAGGACTTTTAATTTTGAGTCAAGGAGAACAGAGAAAGCTTTGTCCTTTTGTGTGTGTGTATAATATATATATATATATATATATATATCTGATCGCTCCCATTGTCAGTTTTTATAGTCTTAGTTAGTAAACTACACAAATGCTGAATACTGCCATCCAGCAGTAAAGTCTTTCATGTGTCTGCATCTCAAATATGTTGTAACACTGCACTGTGGTGCAATGTTACATTGTTACATCACTGTCACGAGTGCAACAGATAGACACACTGCAGTCCACACCTATCACTGATGGAAAACCACACTGGGTGTGGTTGGAGGTGCAGCAGAGTTGAAACTGTCAACCTGAAGAGGTTAGTGCAACAAAGGTTTTTCTGATTAAGGGACTTGGTATGGATTCCTCTTAAACGTATCATGATTTTCCTCAGAAAAAAATAAAAATAAATAGTATTTAGTATTTTTGTTATTATTACTGGTGGACCTGTAGTGTGAATGGGCTTGGCATCACACCACTGAATCAGCATGTATCAACTTGGAGCCACAAAACTCCATCATCAAACACCAGCCCACACTGAGAGTCCAAAGTGTGTTCATGTGGTGATGGGCATTGTAGTCAAGTATTCAATTCACTGCACCCCAAAAAGTCTCTTGGCTATTAATAAAGACTGTAAATATGAAAAAGGAAACATGCATAGAAATGAATCAAGAAACAAAGAAATTTGAAAATTAGTACGTATATGGATGACTACATGTAGAGCTAGTTAGGTCCAATGTTCTTTCATACAATTAGTAATAAGTTATCTTTTGTATTTTTTACAGGGGAAAAAATATCACTAAAATACTCTGTTCAGCTTAGTTTAGGCCTGACAGCCAGTTAGACATGCCAATGATGCTACTGCACATCAATAGATCATCACCGTCACTAAAGGACATTGTAGACAAAGCTCTACCTGCTGGTTCATTTAAGAGTATAAGATTGTTCAGATTACTAAAAGTATGAATTACTAATTATCTTGTCTTAATACACATAATATCAACACATTGCATTGACCGCTAGATTACTAGATGTCATTGATGACATTAAATTTCTTCCTAAAACCCACTTATGCAATTTTCACAAAGATCCTGACATTCACCAATGTTTTCATATTTGAGATTTGTAGAACAGAATTTACGCATATTCAAGAGCTCACAGCTGAGATGTTGCAAATAATTGGAATAATATTTGTTTTTTTGTGTTATCTTTAATTCAGGGTGGGAGGGAAGTTCTATGGGTCCAACAAACAGCGATCTTTAAGCCAGGAGATGGCAGTTGTCAATGTCGATGTTTTTGTCACGTAAGTAATAGCACTTCCGTAGTTATTTTAACCCAAACAACATTCTATTACTAAATCTAACTAAGTGCTTTTGTTGCCGAAACCTTACCGAGTTTCCTGTGAAGTTTATTTTGAAAAGAACGCATGTATGTAACGAGCTGAAATTGACACGTGTTGCAGGCTTCAAACCGTTGTATGAGGATACGTTGACCCAATAGGCAACCCTCTTACTACCAGGTTTACAAAAACAAAGCGGAAACCAAAACAAAGTTCTAAGTGTTTACCGCTTTATCTTTAAACTTTTTATTGTATTTGCAGAGTGCACAACACATTTCACAACTATACATTTCATGCCCTTTCATGCAGATTGGCAGGGTGCTTGCCTATGCTAATTAGGTTCAACTGGCACATGCCTTCGCTTTACGAGGACAATGGGATTCATCCTTATACGTACACAGGTACAAACAATTATCCCGTTTAACATGTCTTGAATCATGTAGACTTTTCTTAGGACCTTTAAGAACAAATTTAAGATATTGGTGAATGGGGCCCCTTGATTCTAAAGCCAAATAATCAAATTTAGACGCTTTATTGTGAAACAAGTTCAGTGTTCTGACTGAAACCTTTGTGAAAACGTAGGCCATTTTATTTGGTTGCAAGATAAGTAAGTGTAAGGCAGGTGAAGGCAATTAAATTGTAAAAATGCTCAAAAGCGATCAAGTCCCTCACTGCGTCTCATTTGACAGTACAAGAAAAACTCTATCACACTATCAGGAAAGCAAAGATGAACGTGTAGTCTCAACTCCCATTGGCTGTTTTACCCCGACTAACTGTTTAATTGACAAGTCAACAAGACAGCAAAACACATGTCATGCATGAATACTAAAATAACATTCATACAACCTCATTGTTCAAAATCACAAAAATGAACACTCAAATCCAAGCGCCAGCTATCCCCTTTGTGTTCTTATTTATTTCAAACTGAGCCATATATAATCAAGAGCATTTAAAAATGTACCGGACCGCAAATGGGATAGCTAAGACACAATACAGCTTCTTGATCTTTCCACAGCCATGCAACATCATGCCTACCTTGCGCTTGTGCTCCTCCTCCTCTTGCATCTTGACCTGAAGCTTTCGCACCATCACCTGTCTCTTCCATTCAGGGATCGCTTTCCCCTGTTCGTCAAGAGTGGGCACTAGCGCTTCCACGTCCGCAAGGCTCATCTTTCGCCCCGACTCTGCTCCGCCACCGTTCCCATTAATAACGGCATTGGAGGACAGTTGCTCGTAGCTAGCAGAGGTCGACATGGTCCTGGCAGATCCAGAACCAGTAGGACTGGGACTAGGACTAGGGGTGGCCGGTGGTGAGGCGAGCGACCTATCGGATGGTGGAGTGGACGATGGCTTGGCTAGTGGGCTAGATGTGCGGGTCTCTGGTGGTGATGCAGTGTTTTCCTAGACAGAAAAAAGACACCAATGGACAGGAAAACATGGTCTGTGACAAAACTTTAAACTTTTTAAAAACCAGTAACCACTCTCTTATTTACATCCTTATAAAAATGCAACTGTAAGGCAGAGTTAGACATTCTTGTAAAAGGTTCATATTTCACACAATGCCAAATTTCTTCCGGATTCGGACATATTCTTCTAGCTTAAGTGTAACTCATACGATGTATGACCATGTCGACTCTGACTCATTCAGTATAAATGATGACACTATAATGTGTATCAAGTTATTGCGGTCATGACATTTCTCAATGGCGCAACAGTACTACAGTTCCCATGATTGAGGGGATCCATCCGTCGAGTTCAGAGAGCTCCGCTGTCCCCTCGCTAACATCGTGCACAGTTTCCAAACTTATCAAACTTGGCAATTAACAAATTCTGTGGCAAGAACCCTGAATCATTAGTGAAAATTAAATTCTGATTTGTAAAGTTGCACTTATATTATCATGAAGGAAGCATTACTGAGGGGTTCACTGGTGGACAGCGACGTAGAAGTGTGTCACAGGTATGTCCCTGAATACCTATTAATCACACCTTTGATGGGTTTGGGATAATTTGACTTAATTCCTGTCATTTTTCTGGATTAATTTAAGTCAGTGTGTCTATACTTGGTTTAAAATGGAGAGGCAAAGTGCCATCAAATGCACAAGTGATTGATAACCCTGTGGCTGAATTTCCATATTTGTCCGTGACTGTTACATAATTGTGTCATCAGTGGTTGTGGAGGGCTGTGGACCTACATTGTTGCCTGTGGGTCCGCTGTTGGAAAACACAGTGGTGTAGCCTTTACTGTGAGGTGTTGGCTTGAGGCTCTTCCCTGCTTTGATCTCTGCCAGCAGCTCCGAGTTGTCGCCAGTGGGGGACATCATGTTGAAAGATTTTGTGCCTGCAGACAAAAGGATGGAGCAGAAAAGTGAAACCGAGTAGAAAGAAAGACGGAGGGAGAGAGAAACCGAGAGAGTGAGGGATAGAGATACACTGAAGAAGAGGGAGAGAGAGAACGGTTGGGTGGCATTTCAGTGTTAAATATTTCATCCGATCAGGCAGGTAACAATGCTGCCCTCCAGCATGTTGCACAGTGACAGGAGGTCATTATGGCGTCTACTGAGCCTGTCTCTCAAGGATAAGCTTAATAAGGTTCTTTTTTAGATGTTTTACTGTGATTAGCGTTTTCATTTATAACCCTTTTGGGTTCACGGTTTGCTTTAGACATGTATCTCTGAAACACAATTAGGATTTATCAAATGACTTTCCAGCTACCAAACTCCCTTAAATATATTGCCAAGACATTGCAAATGAACCAATGCGAATTCAACACATTCGGCAACTGTTGCATCAGTCAACAATTGCAGTTAGCTGGGATTAGACGGGGAGAAGCAATTCCAAATGATTCCACTACAGTGAACCCAAAGAGAGGAGGCAAGACAATCTCTTTCAGTGTCACCTGACATACACAGCTAAGCTACTGCTGAACTTTAAAAAAAAAAAAAAGTAGGTTTCCATGAACCCTAATCTGAACAATGCAACAAATCGTCAAGTACGACCTCTCTTGGAACTGCCATTACAAAGGAATTGCATTTTCACTGTTCAAAGACAGATAAAAGAAAGAAAGAAAATTGAATTGTCAATCAGGCAATGCCAAAGTAGCTTACCCATGAGGCCATATTTTTTTTGCACAACTTGCTTATTAATACAAAAAAGTTTTTCCAAAACAGCAGTTAACAGTGTCAATGGGAAAAGTATAGGACAATAACAAAGAAGCTATTATTTTAGTTGTTTCTATGCAACACACATTTAAGATGTGGCCGGAAAATTCTTTGATCTAATGCGATAATGTAACGTACAACCAACTATTATAGCAGCTATACATAGTTATTTTAAAACATTTACTTTTTACATATGTTGGCCCAAACACATCAAGAGCCAACAGCTACCTCACCTGTTTTAGTGAATGTAAACCTCCAATGAATTGAATATCCTTAGTCCCTCATTGATCACTCATTTTCTAGTCGGGGAATGGAAAAAGTCCTCCCGTAAAAATGTTCCTTGTTGAGGCAACCACAATGGTCGAGCTGGACACAAAGCCTCGCTAGCCAGCCACCCTCCTCGCTCTCCCTCTCCCCCTCTCTCTCTTGGGGAGGAGAGAGCAGTATTCTATTAAAGACCCATCATCACAGTTGGGGGAAATCTAAAGGAATCACCAGTAACTAGAAGTGACAGCGAGCCATTGGCAAGCCGGCCAGGAATTAACACGCATGCACACGCACACATGGACGGATACAGTTAGGTTGACACACACACACACACACACACACACACACACACACACACACACACAGACACCCTTCAATCCCCAGCTTGTTAGTCCACCTTACCAGACCAATCCTTACTGCAGCAAACCTGACACACAATTCAATCATACGCACATTCTTGACATGCATATACTCTCACAGTTACTGAATTACAGAGAAATAAAGAGTCTGATGACCGACACCAACAAGCCTTATACAATGTGCAGTTGTTCACACTCAAACTGTGGCCCGTAATAGGTTTATGAATAAAAGGAAACAGCTGCTGAACCCTGACACACTTTTACAACAACGCGTGACATCTCTTTAGGGTTAGTTTTGAGTCAACAGATTATATAATTCAGTAGAGTACTAAAACTATTTCTTACTTAAATGTAACTGGATCAGTCACAAATAAAGTATGAGATTTAATTTTGGCAATATAAGCAGCCTACCTTCATCCATGTTCCCCAGACAAATCTTCATTGCAGAGCTCCAGAAACACCGGATTATCCACAATCAAATGGGTTTCAAGGCTAAAACGTTACACCGGACTGAGGTCGGTGTACTCATATCTGTTTGATTAAACCGTAGTATTTGTGCGTTTTCGAGCCAAAGGTTAAGTGTGTGTGTGTTTTACATTATTCTGTTCAGGGCTCAGGGGTGTGGACTCAACAGGTCTGCCAGAGTAAAGGAGGGTGGAGCTGTGACAGGTGGAGAACAATTGACGGCCTTTTATGATGGACATCACAGCACAAAGGGTTTCCTGCTCTGGTTTAGAAATCGGAGTCAGGCTGCTTTATCCGTTAATAGCTGCATTGTCGCAAAGCACTTCAGATAGAGATGTGTCCTGTAATATAAAAAGTAAGATCCTCTCCATTTGGTTAATAAGTAGAAAACAATATAAAACCTTTTTAAACGATCTACAATGTTGCCGCAGCTTTTTCCAATCAGCCACCTGGTTTATTGCCATCGTCAGAATGAGCATCTGAGCTGTGAATTCATCTTGAGCTCTCGGATGTGTTGGTGACTTTTCATTTTATGACCACCTAAATGTTTATTACCTGATTAACGGTGACGCACAAATCTTGCCATTAGTGAGCACACACTGCTCTTTGGCTTTAAGTATTTTATTGGTATCCTACCATTAGGCAGCAGGTGGAGCATAAATGGATGAGACAATTGAATATTTGGTGAACAAAACGTAGAGATAAAATACAACAAAAAGGTGCCTAAATGGAACAATTAATAGTTTACAGCTTAATTGGTGTCGCTGTTTATTACTGGTTTGTAAAAAACAGTGGTGTATATTGCCCTATGAGCTACTTTTCAGCTATGACACAAAGCTGAAACCATTATACCGTAAATGATAAAATAATGAGCTTCCTCACATGTCGTGTCCATGACAAATATGCCTCACAACAAAAAATATCTTTATTTGTACCCTATGGGACTGTTTTATTCATTAGAAAATGAGGTTATTGGAAAAATCTAATTCAGTATACTCACAATAGTTGGGTTTCAAAAATGTGGATTTTAGTGTATAGCCTCAAACTACAGTACACGTGAAAGTAATTTATTCTATTTCTCTTCACTGTATTGATATTTAAAAGCTTACTGTAAATGAATTACCCAAAAGATTTGGTGGTGGTTTTCTAAAAAGAAATACTACTGTAATGGTGAATTTTTTTTTTATGTCGTAAAAAATGAAAAGTCAATCCAATATCTTTCTGAATTTGTTACTGGTACAGTGGATATAAGCCTGTCTACATAGTTCTTCTGTTTATTATGATCAAAGGACTTTTTCTCCTGTTGTAAAATGAAAATAGATAATTTTCCTTAACAATTGATGTTACAATTGTGAGTTTATTTGTCTCGAGAAAAAAAAAAAAAAGGACAACTATCTTTTGCTTTGATAAGCTGGATACACAGGTTGAATTGCTGTTAATATTAATATGAAAAACTCAAGATTATGATAACTGGAAAGTGTGAAGGCCTGTTATAAACCCCAAATTCGATGTGTACGACGAGTGAACTGATTTTAGTTGAAAGACTGGTCGGCAGTCTGTACTTACTCTTCATCAGTCTCCCTCCCTCTGCCTGAGTAGCAGACATATCGCCGCCTTGACAGAGCAGCATTGAGGACAAACCACGGCAGGGAAAAAAGTGGAAAACCAAAAACAACCAAAAACAGAGAGGAAACATGTGGAGATGGAGCAGATGAAAGAAGGAACATGTAAACACAAACGTACGGTCAGGGGACTAATGGGGAGAAACATGCTATATCAGCAGAAGAACCGTGTTGGCTTGCCAATTAAGAAAATTAGCAGCATGAATGTATAATTATTACAGAAAGAGAAAAGCAATCAGGTTGCTGCTATGTTTTATCTTGTTGCTCTTCATGTTACTGCTGTTTGATCCGCTGTTGCATGCCGAGCCATCTCGGATACCTATCTCCAATTTTTGCTTAACAGACTCTGCTATGTTTTGTGGATTCTTTGATACAATAGTGTGATGTGCTTCATTTGCTTCCAAGTGTGTTAGTTATTATATAATGAATTGCTTATTTTTGTATTGTGGTTGATAACTAATTAGTTTAATGCATGTGATACATTCTGATAGTACGTTATATGATCTTAAACCTTTAACAGGGATGAGACATTTTATTAGGCATAATCAAATTCGACAACTTTTCAATTTTCAAAGCTTGTTATCTTGAGTAAAATTGAGTATTTTGGAGAAAGACTGACCCACTTTACCTCACATTGAAGACTAGAACAGCATGCACACTGTCAGACCGCTGCATCCAGGGCAGCACAAGGCACTTAAGGAAATGGATGAACACTAAACTAGTTCTTTGGGTAATGGTAGCCCTACATCATTAATTTATAATCCTTTATTTAGGATGCTCAGGTCAGACTCAAATAATTGTTACCCAGTGAGATAACAATCATTTCAGTTTGACCCGAGCAGAAAGCTGCTTTCTATGAATAATTGTACAATGATGTGAATAAGCATAAATATCGCCAGTAAATACATGTATTGCCTTTTTCTTTTTTTAAGAACTTTCAACAAATGTCTAGTGCAAGGGGACAAAAGTAGGAATTGAAGGGAGATAAAAAGGGTGGAGAAAAGAAAAGGGGGAAAAAGCACTCACTTCCTGATGAGGAAGATAGACGTCGCTGGTTGGAGGAGGTGCTACTGGCAGAGCGATTGTGGGTGGTTGCCGTCTCCGGGGGCAATGGAGGAGGTGGAGGTGGTGTCGGTGTGTGATTGCTCGCAGGAAGAGGAGGCGGAGGTGGAGGAGGAGGTGGGGGCGCCGCCGACTCCTCTGTGGTGGCATTCTCTGAGCTGTGGGCGGGGCTGTCGCTAGGCTCCTCCAATAACACGGAGCCCTGATCGGAGGAGAGGGAGGGACGGAGAAGAATTAGTCGGCTATATTTTTCACACATTATCTTTTTCCTAGCGCCCACATTGTTATATTACTCTGTAAGCCAATATTTGATCACTGATAACAGGGATGTGACGGGTGGCCCACGGACCGATATTCCACTGTTAAAAACACTACTTGAACAATGATCATCAAAATGTTGTGATATTTGCATTCCATTTGCCAGCTGTTATATTCCTAAAACATGTGAAATTGTGTTAACAAAACTAAAAGAAAGCCTAAACAAAATACCTTTTTTTTTTTAAATAAATGAAGAAAACAGTATTATTATACAATCAATTAAACACACAACGGTGACGGTGAATTTGTTTTCCCTGCTTGTATAGGCATGCCACATGAAACTCCCGCTGGGCTGAACGAGCATTAAATTATTTCAGACTGTCGAGAGTGACGGATGTGTGCAGCCCTATTAGATGTGTCCCCCCTCTGCTTCCTGCCACCTTCAATCAACTCATGAAGACCTAACACCCTGTTGCTAATAACAGAGCTAATATGACCTAATCTCAAGGGGAAACTCTGAGGGGAAACAGTGGGAAGAAGCCATCTGTCACTGCAAGTGATAGTGCTTAAACCCCCCCCCGCCCCTCCCTCCCAGTGTGCGCGTGTCTGACACGCTCTGAAAGCGTGCCATAACTCTGCTGGGGGCAAGTTAATGGGCCGTGACATTTAACTCGACCCCGCCCTCCCCCTTCTTTAGTTCTGCGGACGCGTGCTCATCATTGTTGCCCCCCTTCACTTTTTAAACCCCCCAGAGAGTTGGTGGGGAGGGGCTGCGTCCAGATGGGTCGTGGCAGCACGTGCTGTTGCTCCCGTTGATTAGCCGGTCCATCTGCTAGGGTGCCTCAGAGACCAGCAGAGGCCCCACTGGGACCTTAATTGGCTCAATGTGGATTGTACTCCGTATCATCCAGAGGTCCCCCACCACTGATACCCTTGAGATTATAAGAACACCTCTCCAGGGACATTGATGAGACCCTAACAGACTCTATTCATTCAGCTGCCTCTGCAGGTATGTGGCAGCAATCAGGTGCTTTATGACCAGGATTCTGTTTCACTTACATTAGTCACTAGAAGCCTTGTCAAAAAGTTTACTTTAAAATTCTGTAGCATTTCCAAATAAAATTGACACGGTGCCCTTAATCACCGCATTTGTGTTGATCAGGAAATCAATGAAAAAATGTGAATGTTTTCCCCAAAACCTGAAGGATTAAATTGACCTTTTTATTTTAATGTGATCTCACAGACTCAGTGTTGTTTGTAGGTTGAAATAACTTCCATTCATTAATACAAATAGCTTGTAATATACTTAAGATTTGTTTCTGTCACTAAAACAACCACATACATAAAACAGATTCCGTGGTATTGACGCCCGTCATGATGTGTGGTTGTTCTGAGTTTGTTCTTTTGTAGGTCTTGGACAGTTTACACAACAGGGTGGAGATTTAAGAAGCGATGGAAATGAGGGAGACGTTTGCATCAGCTGGCAAACAAAAGCTCAGGTGGACACAACACAAGGCTGAGTGGCATAATGCACAGGCAAATAGTGCATTATGGTAATATAATGCCAACACACCGCCACTTAGCTAAACCGCATCCTGAATAGGACTTTATAAGCAGCCCACAGTACGAACAGTACAACCAGGGCAAAGTACAGGAACCTTTTGACAAACCCTGTACCAGTATGCATTAGAGTTACAGCCAATATACTATTGTTTTGAATACTGCAAAAGACAAACATTACGCAATGTATGCTAAATTACATGGCAATATCAAACATCATGTAAAATGAGCTGCTTCCCTGATGAATACAGATGCACCACATCTGATTTCCCAGTCGATGTCAGATGACGGGCAGTATTACATCAGCACCAACATGTTTCTTTTTTATGTCACAAACAGCGGAGAGCCGGCTTACCTCCTCGTTGGGCGCCATGCTTTTGCTCCCTCGGGGCTCGGCTAAGTCGCTGCCCAGGGCCTTGTAGTAGTCCCCAGTGCTGGGCTGCTTGCTGAAGCTCCTTGACCTCCTGTTTGAATCCACACGCCGCAGTTTGTCGTGGCTTTCTCCAGGAGTCAGCTGATTAAAAAACAAATGTGAATGTGAAAAATGAGTCACTTTAAATAGCTTTGGTTTAACCTGCTCATTCGCCCCACTTGCATATTTTTCTGAATATAACTGTTATTAGCCCAGGTATGAGAAATTAAACTTATAAGTACAGGAATTACACATAGACATTTTTGTTTTTAGCACCTTATGAAAATATTATTCGAGCTGAAATGATTAGTTAATTAATCGATTTGTCTTTTGAATAAAATTGTTGACTGCTTTGACCAAAGTAACCAAACATTTCCTGAATCAAGCTTCTTTAATGTAACAATTTCAATTATTTATGTTATGGGATAGTAAACTGAATATATTTCGGTTTTGGACTGTTGGTCGGATAAAACATCACCTTAAAAAAAATAATAATCAAGACAAACGTATAAATCAATTATTAATATGCAGCAAAAAAAAATTATTTGCAGCACAAAGCAAGGGTAATAACTTTAAGGAAATATAAATATATACAAGTAATATACAATTGGTATTCATTTATATAAAAAAAGAGAAGAAAGTAAAATAATTCAAACTTGATGACAGTTATGGTTCTAAAATAATAGTTGCCAACATTAGTATTTGGTTGACAAAGCTTTTTAGAAATACAGAGTGGTGAACGGCTAAACGGTACTTTTGTCATTTGTGGGCCAACACACTGGAAGACACACATAGCAGCTTTTGTTCTGAGATTAGCTCTCTCGTGTGACCAAAGCAGCCTGAAACATAACAAGGCTTTAGTTCCGTTCTAGTAAAACATTCGCATTGTTTCATGTAAAGACTGCTGTGCCACAGAACATACGAGTTCACGTGCAGCTTTTGAACCAGTGTAAGAGAGACCCTTCTGTCCACAGAGAAGGGTCAGAGGTCACTAACTCGGCCCTTTGAGTTGAGCACTCTCACTTTCCTTCTGACATCTATCTCAGGCAGCTGTACCTGGAAAGATTGGATAGCAAAGTCCTGTAATTCTGAGCGTTTTCACTGTATGCTGCTATTAGAATATAATAACCAGACATTAGCAGTATAGATAAGCTCACCTTGCATGTTGAGCAGCTGTAATGAATAACATGAAAAGTCCTTCAGGTCAATCTGTGGGTACATTTTCCTAGTGAAAAATGTATCTAATTTGCATCAAGTATTTGCCTCAAAAAAGTTAAAATGAAGTCTCTTCCGTGGCATTACTTCTTTCCAACAGTGTGTCACAAAAAGGTGTGTAAATGTGAAAAAGGAAGCCCCCTTTTCATCGTATATATTTTTGAAGACTTAACGTTGAAAACCGTCAACTACAAGCATGCCTAAGTCATCATAGCAAAATGTATAGTCACTTTGCCTTTCAAGTCCAGGGAAATAAATGACAGCTGACCTCTGACCTCTCCTCCATTGAGGCGTCACATTTTAACTCCTCTTAAGCTTATTTAGTGTTGTTGACTCATGTCTGCTGTCAAAGACTTGGTCCCTGAGCACTCGGCGGGTGGGAGGGTAATGTGAGCAGGGGAGCACTACAGATGGTTTGATTGTCATCCTCTGGGGAGGTGGGCCAACAAAAGCAAATGTGCAAAGCATTGTAGCTGCCTCCCTCCCTCACACAGACGTACAAACGCCTCCTTTCTTCCCATTATACGGATCTGTCTGTCAGCATGAAGTTATTGTTATATATTTGTTTTTACAGTCGAATGCATTTAAATGCATTATCAAAGGTTGTTTTTTTTTTTTTTAGCCCTGCTGCGGTTTGAGATGGTTCAGCACATCTGCTGAACCACGTGGTTTTGCAAAACTCTCAGATAACGAAAGGTCACACACACAGGACGACTGTGCCATTTTAAAATGAGTAACAAGTGACTTGGACTCCAAGAAACGTAGACAATCAAAACATGACAAGATGCAACACATTCATTGTTGAGCCAAATGGCAGCTCAAACCGCTCCACAACCTTTCAATTATCTAAAATACACAAAGCAATTTGTTCTGTCTTTGCCAGCATTAGTAGCCCAAACTGGTAAAAAAACAAAAAAACAAGCTCTCTTCCTCCTCTGAACACCTTACCGTAGCATTAACAATCCTCTCCTGCAGCTCTGCTCCTGTCTGGACTGAGCCTCATCCACAAACAGAGCACAGAGAGTAGCTGTCACCAAATCCAGAGTGTCACCTCCTCTCTGCTCGGTGCTACGCCTGCCACTCTACCTGCCCTCTCACTTTACCTACAGGCCTCATCAATATCCTATCGGGCCGCCCACAGCAGGAGCAATGATGTCACCACCAGCAGCCCGCAGACCAAACAATCCCCAACCCCGCCACAGTGCCTCTTATGCAAAACACAAAGACCCAGGTGCTGCCCTCACCGTGGCTGACCGCACTCAAATCTCTCAGGTTTGAGGGATTATTAGAATATTCTAGCCTTCAGTCCCCTGAATTAGTGGCAGAAAATATTCTAATCAGGGCTGAGATGTTAAAGTCCACATTTTCTAGAGAAACTACAGCAGGTCAAAAGAATTAAAAAAAAAAAAACAACAACGAGAGAGGCAAAGCAGTCATTTGTTTGGCTGCTTCTCACGAAAACATTTGACTCCAGTCAAGGCAAATACAGACAAATGAGATGCGAGAAGCAGCAGAGAAAGCCGACAGTAAAAATCTAAAATGTGCGAAAGTTCTGTTACCGACAACACCATCCAACAATAAGTTTAGAAAACAACAACTTGTCTACACTCTGAGCTGTAATACGTCTACTTGTCGTGAGATTGGTCCTTCTGATCGGCTCCGTCCATGGATGAGGTTACTGTTCCCTGTTACTATGGCGCCCAAGGTAGATTGTTTTTCTAAATGTATATGCATGTGATCTGAGCACTGGCTTTTGTTAAATTGGTAATGAGGGCGAGCCCCGGGCTGGTCACCTGGGTACAGAAAGGAGATGGGGGGGGGGGGGGGGGGCGCTATAGATATAAACACACACACACACACACACACACACACACACACACAACCTGGGAACTTTATAACATCTAACAACAACCGACTTTGCAGATCTAAAAACAAAGCCTCCTTCTGAGCAATTCATTTTATTTTTACAGCTCCTTGACTTTGTACTATACTTCTGCTTTCATATGAAACGATACATCACTGAAATCCTTTAAATTAGGCTGATTTAAAGATGTTACTGCAAATTAATATACAAGATTAAAGCCTTTTGCTTCTGTTGTACTTAAAAAAGCAAAATTAGCAAAAATATGTCTCACATTTGTCGTGCTTGTCTGAAACTAAAGCGACTTGTTCATACAACTGAACAGAGACTGGTATCGTTCTACCATCCTGCTGGAAGTCATGGCAACAACCAGGAGATAAATGCTTCATGAGGTGAAAGTGATCTCTCAGATTGATTATCTTTGTCGTAATTACAGTGTTCTCTGACCAACCCAATTACAATTCAGTCAGACTAACGTCACAACCCGTTTTTAATGCACTTCACAGCAGCACCGAAATACCAGAAACGGCACTGAAACTAATGTTGATGCCGATTTTAAATTGCCGCTCCTCTAAACACACTTTTGAGTGATCTGTAGCCAGATTAATTACTGGAATTAAGATCAAGCCCATCACAACAACCATTGTGTGTGTCAGGCGTGCCACGGTAATGAGCATCTTTGTTAGCCTCGTTAGCCATGCTAACACAATAACATCTTTGTAGGCACACTGTTACACAACAGCAATCGTCCGACTGATTAGACACAAGGGAAAATGGCAGCCAATTGGCAATTTACACACCGGTCCTTCTGCTTCTTTAGGATCTTTCCATATCACTCATCATGTCACAGACTCCGCAAAACATTTTTCCCAAAGCTTGAGGTATTTATGCTTTACTACACTGTCTGCTTGTCGTTACACAAACTCAGAGGGTGACACCTAACTGATAATATCTGCACAGTGAAACTTGATGGACGGGCACAAACAATGATCCACTAAAACATGTTTTTGCATTTGGAGATTTCCCTCTAGATGAGGAAATATTTGCACGGCCCTGAGGCTCGACTTACAAACTGTTTAAAATGTGAGCTCGGGCAGGAGCTCACTACCTCTGTCCTTACCTCCGTCTTGCTGGTGCTGCTCTCCACGTGACGCAAGTTGCTTTTCACCTTCAGGAACTCCGCTGATGTCGGCTCCTGAGGGGGCTGTGGCGCCGGGTAGGTCGGGGGTGGAGGGGGCGCCGGGGGAGACTGTGGGGGAGGTGGGGGTGGAAAGGCTGGTGGTGGTGGTGGTGGTGGGGGGGGCTTGGAGGCAGTATCAGCGGGTATCTCATTCTTTTTGGGCACGTCGGAGCCAATGTCTGGGTTTAGCATGTCCATGTACGCCTGCATGTCTGAAATGGCTGACTCTGATGCACCTGTGACAAAAGGGTAAAACGCAGCATTAAGTTAACCTTGCTTTACACTGTTCAAACATGAATGAGAAACATGAGTTCCTCTTATGATGGTCCACCTCTCCATCCAACAAATAATCTACACACTGCCACTAGGGTGCAGCACCAGTGTACCATGCACCTGTGACATGAACCAATAGGAAGTAAACTGCTGCATGATATCAGCTTTACCTCAGTGCATAGCTTAGGGTTGCACCATTGCTCTGATGAAACACCAGTTGAGGATTTATGGCTAAATGACTGAAGACGACAAAGCTTGCATTACCGTAACACTCTGATTATGAGCTGATAAAAATATTTTTGACCGTTAAGCTCATCATTTGATATTTCAATTTAGAAACAGAATGGGACATCATTGGTAATTATTTAAAATGAAATATGAGCGTACGTTTCTAGTCACCTTGTTGGCAAAATTCTTGTCTAATTAGGCTAGAGTAGAAAGTTTCATATTTTAACTGCATGCATTGCAGACCTGTGTGTGCGACCGTGTTCAGCTGAGCGGGTGGGCCCCGTGATGTTGTCAGGCTGCTCCTTTTCTCCCCAGTGCTGGATTGGCTGGAGTTGGCTGAGTCGTAGTTGGACAGGGAGCTGGATGGTGAACTGATATCAAAGTGTGCCACCTGGCTGACGGGGGGGGGCATGGTGGTGTTTGGGGACGAGAGGCCCGAGTCCGGCTGCTTGTACTCGAGGTCCATCGAGGGGTCCCGTGACAAAACACGGTGCTCCACACTCTGTCAGAGGGTGCAGTTTGTGAATACAAGTATCATTATATTGGTTTTGTCAAACTAGCCAAGATGTGGTCATGATTTCCACGGTAGTACAAACAATAGTCATAAATTAATTCTTAAGTAATCACTCATTAATTTAGATGTAAAAAGGTACAGCGTCATCACACAAGACATTCATTAATTAGTGAATATGAATTAAGTATTTGTTCATTAATTCCTAAATCCCACTACCTCTCAGTCCCTGAATACTTACATGAGGGGATGAGCATTATGTGTTTAATGAGTACACACTAATGAAACATCTCACAGCTGATCTAAAAGGCTCTGGGGCCCTCTGCTTTTCCCACAGTGCAGGACTTGGCTGAATGTCCCTAATGGGAAGAATACAAGAGGGGGGGGATATGTTTCCCACACACCAAAGAGAGTTCAGTGCGGAGGAGTTATTTTTCCTCTGGCCACTTGGGGTTATCAGGCGGTTGAAGCCGTGGACTCCACTGTACAGAAGTGGTAATCGCTCTGGCAATTAGCAGAGAAAAACTGATGTCAGTCAAGGGACGTGTTGGCTCAGGGACAGCTGTTGCTTTTCCATTAGGCTCTGGGGGACCAACTAAGCTAGAATGTGAATTATTAATTATTATTAGAATATATATAATCAAATGTTTGACTAATATTTTTGCAGAATTTAGATTATAGTCATGGAACATGACTATCACTTTTTACAGGCTTGACAAACTAAAAATATTTTTCTTTCTTATTTCTTTAATCATCTTGTTAATATTGATATTTTTAGATATAAAAGTCTTGAAGGAACATCCAATGATTTGATCAATAGAATAACCACCTGATCTTTTTCTTACTTGTGAGTTATTTCTTGGACAAGATTCAAAGTTGGTGTAAATTAAAATACTTTGACCCTCACTGATAAATTCCCTCTAGGTGTGGCCTTGTCCACAGGGAGGTTATAGTTCGTCAGGATGCACACTGCGTCTCCTACCATGTTCTGCACAGTGTGCAGATACTTGGCACACTGGGAGTGGCCGTTGTATTCAGCCAGATCTGCTCCTGCGAAACCGTCCAGGTCCTTGATGCCCAGGTCCACCCCATTGACCACAAGGATCTGACAGCACTGGACGAGAGAGCGACAGAGGAAGTGCTAGAGGTCAGATATGAGTAAGTAAATCAGCATCAATCAGTTCAAATAAATTGGAAAGTATCAACATCCGTGTTGACAGAAATTCTAGTTTTTGCTAATTTACACTACAATAGAGAAGAAAAAAATCACCACTGTAGTACAGTATAAAAGAGATAAATGCGCTTATTTTTAAATGCATTCGTTTGTTATTATATTTACACTTATGTAATGATTCAAAATGTTAAAATATCCATAACTATATTTGAATTATTTATGAGACCCTCGCTAGGAGGATGCAAAATATTACCTGATTGGTCACTAACAATCTCAATCATCTTGCTCATAAATTACTGTAATAGCTAACAGGAAATTAAATATCCTTCCTAAAAGCAGAATATTACTGGGGGAGACCTTCCTCTTTAATATGAAGCATTTCTGCTAAACTTGAACTGTATAAAGCATCTCTTTACAACCCTCCCTGTCAAGTGCCAGATTAAGCCGCTTGTTCCCAGAATGAGAAAGCTTTTTTTTCTCCGTATTTTCTTGTGTTCTCTCCTCTCAAAAACTTGGGCTGGCACCCTGTAAACCAGGCTTGGGGTCAGTTTCCTTTTGAGTTTAATTTCAAACCCTTCTCATGCAGTGCACATAACAGACATAACATACAAATGTATCTACATTTAAAACATCAACCTTGTGTTGAAACAGCTGACTGACCAGAATTGGATACAACAAAACATTAGTCAAAGTAGAAGGTCAGAGTATTGGTAAAGCCATAAGCTAGGTGCCATTTATTCAAAACAGATGGTTGAGCGTGAAACTCAGCGTGGATATGTGAGCAACAATAATCATAATGCTCCAACAAAACGGATCATCTCTGCTACTGCTCGTATTGCCATTAATATTCAAATGGATCAGTACAGCCAACATTCTGCACAAAGTCACTCCGTCTTGTACGTTAATGTACACATTAAACACCAAATCTTTATTTAGAAGGCGTTTACATTCTAATATTAGCATGCCAGCTGTTTCACTGTCTATGGTAATACAAAGAATAAGAATAAGAATACAACACAAACACACACCTCCAGTTCACCGTTCTCTGCAGCGTCATGAAGTGGGGTTCCTCCCCAATTGTCAGTGACGATCTCTCCGCCGTGCAGCAGCAGCCAGCTGAGCACCTTTGCGTGACCTCGACTGGCTGCAAAGTGCATGGCCGTGGCCCCGTCACTGTCCCTGCCCGTCAGGCTGATCTCTGTGAAATTCATCTGCAGGAGGGAGGATAGAACTTAATACAAGTTAAAGTCATCGTCTGAAACATTTTCTGTGCAAATGAATAAAATCTGCTTCTGAGGACAAAGTTAAAGACCACTTTGCCTTTGCATAATAAAAACCTGGTCATGATGCAACAAAGTTCTTCTGGTGTTTTTAAAGAGTCATTTTGGTTATGAAATACATTGGAGAGCTCAACAATATTAAAACAAACTAATAATCCAACATTCATTTGCCTTATCATAGACATCTGTGAGTTCATAATTTACATTTAACCAGATTTAACCAGATTGGCATGTGGACCAAGGAATAAATAAATGTACTCTATTTGTTTACAAGATATGATCCATAGTGTACTGACATCCCAACATACCAGCCAGACAATGACGGTGTTGTGGCCCATCTGGGCAGCAGCGTGCAGAGGTGTCATCCCGTCATTGGCTCTGATGCTTGGATCTGCCCCACAGTCCTTGACCAGGTATTGGACGACCTCCAGATGACCCTCCTGGCATGCCAGGTAGAGCGGAGTGGCACCATTCTTAGTTTGGGAGTTGACAACGCTGTGAGGAAATTACACAGTAAAGTAAATAGAGAGACACGTGGATACTAAATATCTATAACGGAAGCCTGTGATTCCTTCATCACTGAAACTTAAACAGTTGGACAAAAACAAAAGAAGAGTTACTTGTTCACCTATTACTAACATACAAGTCTGCATCCATAGAATCTACTGATGCCCAGAAATAGATACCTACAATTGTGGATTTTAAAGACAACCCACTGGAATTGCATTTGTGTTATTCAGATTTGTACTATCTCGGTACAAACGTTACTGAATGAATGAAGGTTTTTACTAATTTCATGTCCACACCCTCAGTTGCCTTTCAGCTGTATGATGAAACACATTTATCTGAAGGTTTGGATGTGGGATTATTTGAAGGCAGCAGTTAACTGACATTGTAAACGTCCATTTACAATGTCAACCTACGGCTATTTCGAGAGCAGACAGCAGCGATGCTGAGCCAAATCCCGCGCTCCTATTTCCAAAGGCCCTAAGCCCCACCTCCCGAGTAAAAGCCCCCTTGTTCCAGATCTTTTCAGTCACAGTGGGAGTTCTTGGAGTGAATGAGCGCTTCCCCACTAAATCTAAATCTCATAAGGGCGAGCTTTATTTGGACACTGACAAATGAGCAATGAGTCTCCTAAGAGGATTATCACTCCACTGGCTTTGTGCTTAAAGCTGCCCACATATGAACCGCTCTGCACTGTCATTGTTTTCCTATGTAGAGGCGGAAGCACTACCCTTGGTGTGGAAATTGCCACGGAGCCCCTCAAATTTTAAATGATTTCAACTTTGACCTCGGTTGCCGCTGACCTTTTTTAAAGTGCAACCATTGTAATAACATTGAATTAATCTATGCTTTGCCTCTGCAAATGTCTGCACTATGTTCTGCGCCCTACAAATCTCTGAAGGCAGCTTCAGGAAGGGTTGCCAGGGGCCAAGGCAGACTGAGTAGTGAAGAGGGGCAGAGAAGAGTGAGGGAAAGGAGAGGTAGGGTTTAAGTGGACATGACCCTGCCAAACTTTCCCTTCAAGGCTAAAAGTCAGCTCAACTTAAGTCCGGTGACTAGAGAGCCTGTATTAAAATGACGTGGATGACATCATGTTCTGGTCCTAATCCTAACATGCTGCTCATGATTAATCAGGTCCTATTCTGAGCCGGTAAAGAGATACAAATTCTTAAAATAACATCTTCTGTGGAAGTTGTTAGTACCCCAAATTAATTTAGTAAGACATGTGACTATGTTTTAGACACAGGCTTGTCTTTCAGGAAATGTTAGAATAAACAATGGTAGTCTGGATGATGGAAGTTCCAAGCAAAAACAAGCACACTTTCAATATTTCAAAATAAGAATGGTTCAGTCATGAGGAAGTGGGCAGACAGGTAAATTATTGATAAGTGTAACCAAAGTGTTCACCTGCTCACTGGGGTCTGTATAGCAGAGAAACTTACATTTGTCATTAATCCGAACCACAAACGCTGTGAGAGGGACAAAGTTGAGTGTTTTTGAGGTAAAACGGGGATGATCCTACGAAAGCACTTTGCCTTTTGTCACAACTCTCCAAAGTGAAGAGGCTTCAACAATCCACTAAAGAGGTGCTTTTTGAAGACAGGTGTAGATTTCAAAGAGCGAAGAAAGAGGTTAGCCTTGTGTGACGACAGAGCTAGCAAGTGGCACAAGGGGAGCTCCGTCGTCAGTCACTGAAAGCAGAAAAAACACACTTTAAAGTAGTGGACATTTGACACAGTATATTTTCAGTTCTGCTCTGATGAGTTTACCCCAGTAATTGTCTGTACAATGCCCCCCCGGACAGGGTAACAAAGACCAAGGTTATCTTCATTACTAGCAGAGTAATTGATGTCACACTAATGGTCTTCTTGCCTGACAGAGGCTTGTTATCTTCTCACTGGCTTTTCCTGTCTAAATAATGAAGAATGTTGTGGGAGAATTTATGCACTTTATTCAGCCGTGTGACCAAAGTTTATTGTGTATGATATTTTTACTGATTTACATAATGCACAGCTCTTTATCCATATCTTCTTTTAGAGGCTACAACTGTTGACAGCAGAGCTCAAAAAGTACACCAAGAAAACAAAATTAAAACACGGACAAACACGTAGGCACAGCAGACAACATGCAGATCGCCAGTTTATCTAGTGTGTTTTTAAACCTGTAAAGGAGCATGTCATACTTGACTTTAAGAGGTGCACAAGGTTGTAACTTGACAACAATACTCTCACAAAGTGTACAGTTGTAATACTGTGGGCCCTTTGCCGGAAAGGATCTCAAAATGGCACGTTACATTGCATCCCTCAGATTAAATCTCTTGTTGTAAAAGAGGACAGAAAGTTTGTTTTATCCAACTTGTACCATGAAGTTAAGAAGATTAGTGCTGAAGAAGTGAAAAACAGCACTCACCTTTTAACCTCTTACTTTTCATGTCTAAAGTTAATGTTGACACCTAATTGAACCTCTTTTGTGACCTCCTACATGGATACGCACTGACTTTAGAGGCTCATACTAAATTTCTTCTGAACTTACCAACACAAATGACCTGAGAAAATACACCGTGTTTAATAGCCATCCTAATCACTTTATGTTGTCATCTTTATTAATATTCATACTGTCTTTTCTTGAATTTGGGTTTTGCCTTGCTACTACATCAGATACTTGGATACAGGATGAACTGCCTCATTTTGGAACAAGGCTTTTACTTTGAAGGTGAGGAAATGAATGCTAGTATGAATTAATTCAATGCTGGACTATATGATCCATATGATCCTGTTTCAGCAGCTGTTCTGTAAACAAGAGAAGTAATAAAAAACTAAATAAGAATTTAAAAAGTTTTCCTGGGAATCTTCCTTGTGTGTCCAAATAAAATATAGACAGCTAACTTTATCGAAAATCCTAATGTAGAGGTCTACCCTTTTCAACTGCATGTTGGAATTAATTGCTTGGCCGAAGATCTTAATCTACACTAATTGATTGCATAACCTGTCTGTAGCCTCTCGCTCACTCTCACTCTTTTGTGTACCGAGGCTATCGGCAGAGGCACAGCACATGGTTCTCTGTTAGATTTCTAAGCTACATCTGAATTGGTAGCTTCTTCGCCCGTCCATACCAAGCTCTAAAATATCGGGACACAAAGCCCCATCTGTGCTGAGCCTATTAACACAAAAAGACTGATTGCTAAATGAGTACAACATTGCAGACAGCTGAATACCACAGCCTTCCCCTGAGTGCTTGTCTAATAATAACTATACAATGGAAAATAAATATTTGCAACCATCTCAGTGGGTACTGCACTTGCGGTTAAACCAAAGCTGACCTTTCATCACATTGTGTTCACCCAACCAATGAATCGATGTGATAGTGGTAGTTTTGTAGTTGCTGTAAATGTTGTTGATCCTTGCATTTCTATCATGAAAAGGCCAGATTGGATATGGATATAGATGTCAAATACAAATATGTTGGTACCAAGCCTTGATCCTCAAACCAGCCTTCAAAAGTCTATATTGGTCAAAGCCGATGTGGTCATATGAGGTCTTGAAATAGAAATAGAACTTTAAATGATTGATTTAGTGTAATGCTGCAAAAGACTCAAATTTTAGTCGGTGTTGCTTATTTACCACCTGTTAATGTGTGTACCATTACCTCTGTGAAGCAACACTCATGTACCGTCAACAGGCTGCTGGTTACTAAACTGGTGGTGTAATTGAGGGGGTCATGTTGTCTTTGTGATTTTTCAGGCAGAACAAACAGACGTAAAAGTCGCCAATATAAATTTGCAGCTTGCAATAAACCTTAAAACAAGAATACTATCTCTTTTTTGCAAAGTTCAATTCTGAACAATGCCCTGAGGCTCGAAAGCAAGCCCGTCTATTCAAATGGTTTTGTTTCCCTCATTATCTTATCGCCGGCTGGCGCAACAGTGTGTCGCCGTGGAGACGGTGGTAAACAGTGCGAGCGGTGGCGGAGAAGAGTGAATGGCGACCATGCTATCGGGGAGCCACCATGTCCCTGAGGCTCATTAAATTTTCAGCAGCTATACGCACCTGTGTGGGGTGCAACCACACTATATTGTAGGGGCAGAGGTAAGTGCCTGGACAAGCTGCTCATCCGGCTCAGGTCATCAGAGTCAAAGCAATTCTACTGACAAGGCTGGTTAGCGTAAAGAGCAAGGCGTAAATTATTTACCTTTTGTATTTCGTGGTCACTGCTGATGGCTGAAGTAGACACCAGCAAAAAGAACATCCATCAGCTCAACGGTTATCTCCATATTTTCCTTTTTTATTGTTTTATAACCAGACAGGTGTTGCTAAATGCTAAACTGCTAAACCAAACAAGGCCAACAGTCTTACCTACAGAGACCTGGTTGTGTACTGAATTCCCTTTAATATCACTAAAAAAGAAATGACAAATTTAAGTTTGTTTACCACTCAACAACAGCCATACTACTGAGACGCCCCTGAGCTACCTATTGAAAGAAAGAAAGAAAGATTAAGTGTTATACTATGGAGCTTTTGTTAAAATATGAAGAACTGTTTGTGTAGAGGAAGAACAGCTAACACCTCCCCTCACAGTGTTTACTCCACAACTGTTAGTGTGGCCCTAATTAACAGATAATTACTCCACTCCCCTACTTGGCAATGTGAGACTCAAATCCCTGTGAATACTTTTGACAAGAGACGTTCACGGTGATCTGATCGTACGACACTATACATCAAAATAGCAGTTCACAATGCCAATGCTGCATATCATATACTATATAATCTCATATCTCAACTGGTGGCCCAGATGTGTGTACTGAATCTGACAGCGTAGCTTTTTTAATGTTCCTTTTCTTGCTCGATATGGTTTTACTAATTTCCTGCAAACAACCTCAGTGCTGCTTAGAAAGAGTCTGTGGTGTCGGTTTGTGCTCAGTGCTGCTTCTCAGAAAGGACAATACCTCACCTGTGTCCGTCTAGTTGTACCGGTCCACACAGGAAGGTGTTATCTCTGCAGGGCACTGGTGGGTCTGACACTGAACTGATAAGGGACGATATTCATCAAGGAGTAATCACACAAGCACACACTGACACTTCTTACTGAAGCGGCAGCAATTAATCAATCAATAGGGAATTAATCTGCAACTATTTTCACTCATCAATCACATTAATCGTTAAGTCATTTTTGCTTGAAGAATTACTTAATCACTTGACGGTTAAGGTTCTCAAATGTGAGAATTTGCCGTTGTCTTGGTCTTGCTCTCATACAGACTTGTGTCAACATTATGGAAATGATTCTGGATGTATTACATAAGCAGCACATGTAGGTTGTGGTAGTGTCTGTTTAAGTGTCAGCATTCTGAAAACTGAATCTAAACAGTGGATCTAGAGCAACCTCTTTCAGTGACAAACAGTAGGAGGAAACTGACTAGAGCCTACAATATTAAAAGTTGCCATAGCCTAAAGGCTCTTATAAAATCTAATTTGCGCTGCAGTTTTCACAGGTGAAGGAGATGTTGAAGGACATCAGGTCAAAGGCAGAGAGAAGAAAAGAGATGAGTGGTGGATTAGGTACGAGAGTATAACTTTATAAATATAAATCACACTGACGGATCAGATTTTTAAGACGGTGAACGAAGCTCACAGACCGCTCCAAAGATAAAACCACATTGCTCTTACTTTGGGCTGTGCCCCAGTAGCAGTCGGAGAGAGGGCAGGTCTCCCTTGGCAGCAGCATAGTGAACAGGTACGGCGCCTGTATCGGTGGAGGCCCCGGGGTCCACCTCGCCACTCTTCAGCAGCCAGTCAGTGATCTCATGGTGACTGAAGCGGGATGCGAGGTGGAGAATGGTGGCACCAGAACTGTCCCGGTCCTGTCAATCAAACAAAAGAGGAATAGAGCTGAAATATGAGGCTTTGAAATAAAATGTCCAATTTTTTCAATAAAAGTTAATAATCAAAATAATTTCATATATTTAACCAGAGCAACATCAAACGGCCAACCTGTATGAGAGACTGGTGCCGCTCCATCACAATCCATTTTAAGAACAAATATAATTTGTATGTTACTATATGTTGCTGCTATAATTTAGTGTTTCCTGTTGAAATTAGGAGAAAGGGAATCAATCACAGAATCCCCTGCGCTGTGTGGGATAAACAGGTCATAGAAAATGTTCATAGAAGTTGATGTTTTGTGTATTGTTGATATACAGTCGTCTTGAATGATTCTGCTGCTTAATTTAGTTCAATCCTCAAAGCTCTTTATGCTGTGATTTAGTAGCAGGCATTTTTTGAGCAAGGAAATAAGTCCTTGCTTAGCCCGCGTATAAACGCTGACCTTGTTTGTGAAAATATTCAACACATTACAGTCTTCATGAGAAAACCTCAGCTTACTATAATGCTGTATTTATGAGCAGCATAGACCTACAATTGCACGCAAATCATCAGAGGCAAAAAAATAAAAGAGAATCTGGAAGATCCAAAGCCAAATACCTGTCAAGACTAAAGTGGTTATCTAACATTTCTAATTATTCAAAGGACACAAGATCATAGCTTTTTCAACTTTCTCATCCAACCCTGGCTCAAAAACCAGATCCGTCTTCCATCTTCTTTAAAAAACGTGTTTGTCTGTAAAATACTTTTATTCTTTCTGTCAAGAGATGGACCAATAGCCAACAGAAAAAATGATATTGTATTTGCACACTCTGTGATGTGCTATGAACACTTGAGTCATCTTATCACCAAAGAAGGCAGTGGAGTGCCTCAAATAACCATCAGATAAAATCAGGATCAGAGTGCAACGCACAGCAAAAGACACAATGGTGAAAAGTTAAAGCTATAGCATTGATGATAACCCATCAAGATTGCATTGCAAGTGGTAATTGATGTCAGCCCAGTATCTCATCAGTTAGTTTCTCTGCAGTCAGCCAGACAGCGAAAGTAATGGAGACAGTAAATAGATGTTCGAGCTCTTATTACTGCATTTCAAATTAAGAATCACATATTAGACAATGGGTTGAGTGCCCCATTTACTCTGTTTTGGTTCATCTGCTTGTGTTGTCTTGGCCTAAATTATTTTTGAGCAAGAGTACCATGGGTCAGCTCTGTTGCTTTGTCATTAGCACTGTCAGTCCACAAAGGTCTGGGGTGGTGAATCGGACTGGCTTGATCGTGTCTATGTGGAGTTTGCACGGTCTCCATGTGTCTGCGTGGGTTTCTTTCTACAGTCCAAAAAAAAAAAATGCACATGTTAGGTGAACTGGAAAATCTTAGCAGCCAATAATTGTAAATGTTGTGTAATCGACCAGAGGGTACCTTGCCACTTGCTCTGCATAGTGTAAGCAGGCGTAGCAAATTAAGAATTTCATTGTGTTACTAAAGATAAACAACGTATTATAGAAAAATACTACAATAACAGTAGAGGCACAGTGGCTGCAGGTATATATGCACACATAAAGTTAGTGGTACACAAGGGTTTACTTCAGAGAACACCAAAGTGTATTACAGCTTTTACTGACTCCTTCAAGGTGCCTGCTGCATTCCTTCCCTGATGTGAATACTTTGCTTCTTGCTACCAGCAGAGACATGGAGGTGATAAGGTGATAAGGTTTAATCGTGAAGGTATAACTAGACTCCTTACCAAACATCTTGCAAGCTATCGTATCAAACTACACCATCGTTCATCATATCAACGTCATTATGTATTTGTATGTGTGCCCTTTTGTGCGTTACTGTGTGTGCTTTGTAAAAATTAGTTTTGCAAATCCAGTTTTGCATACTTCATCATGGGAACACACGACAGTGCAGCAGAGTGGATTTAAGCAAACAGCAACAAAAGATGGATGATTTGTTTTTTGTGGTATGTCATCAGAACAGCAATTAACAAAAATGCATTCAGACCCTTGTGCGTGTGTGTTTGTTTTTAACCAAATGTACTTAAGGTCACCATGTTTGTTATCTTTGTATGTATTGATGCTTAATCTGTTATTGGTGTTTGTTTTTTTTGCAGGCAGTTGCCATTTTAGAGGAGGTTTGCTTTTGTTACAAACAAACTACAGATCACCACTCAGTATATAAAACGATGGTGCAGAACCTTGTGGACTACGAATAAATGGTGTCATGATTCGATTTAAAAACCTGTTTATTGGCACTGTGGTCAACTGAGCATCTGTGGAAGTGGCTGTTTTGAACAGCAACACAAAAAGAAAAAAATGAATTAAGCTACAGTCCGCTGCCCTTAATCATGTACAACTAAGGCTTAAGACCACTCACCTCTGGCCGACATCCACCCTGGGTCAGCAGCCACTGTAAGCAGGCCAGGTTGCCGGTGGCTGCCGCGTCATGCGCCGGGCTTGCCCCGTTGTTCGCCAGGCAGTTACCCGCCAGCCCTGCCTCCTCCACCAGGAAGCGCAGGCAGGTTAGTTTCCCCGCTCGGGCGGCGTGGTGGACCGGTGAAGCCCCCAGCACGTCCGCCACGTCGCTGGTGAGCGCTTTTTGCGCTAATTGCAATTTGAGAGTCTGCACGTCCCCTTGCCTTGCGGCGAGCAGCGTTATGTCCCCCTCCACGCCCATCGCTGCTCCTGTAGATCGGACGACTCCTTCCTTTAGTGGCCTGCGTTGAGCCCGATCAGTTCACCGCGCTGATGGGGGTCGGCATTGTATTTACAAAGTTTCAGATCATGTCAGTCACCCGGTTGGTTTTGTGGGGAAACTCAGCAGCCGCTCCAGTTCACCATCCCAGAGCCAAATGATCAAAGGCGATGACAGTTTCCGTTCATACACATTTAAATACGCGATATATTTTACATGTTGAAATACAACTCAGTCCACTGTTATTTATCTGAGCGATAAACTGACCTGCTTTCTATGTTTTGCCCGACGATGTGGCTCATTTATTTATCCGCGTCTTTTCTCTCTGGCGCCCACGGGATGCTGAACACCTGTTGCGCACGTTTTGGTGTATGCGTCCCACTAAACTATCTTTGTTTTAATGCGTTTATTCACCCTGTTTGCCAACGTCATGTGCCTCGAAGAATATTCCGCAGTGTTTTTCTTGCTATAGCAGATGGCGACATGGGACTCAGAGTGCCGGTTAAATAATCCATCAGGGGGAGGATCACTGAGCCTGTTACAGGTTGTTGCTTTCTGGAAATCGGCTCAGAAGTTAAAGGGCCAGTACGGAGAGGCTTCTTGGAGCCCCGAGTAAAGCCCACTGCCCACTGTGGTGGTGGGTGTCAGTCAAGTACTACAGACCCGCGGCTACTAATTTAGCAATGGACTCTTTGAACACACACCCAGTCTTGTTTGCATGCGGCCTCAACGGCATTAATTTTACATGTGGGCCCTGAAATCAGCACCGCTGGACACCCACAGTCTGTGTACACAGTAGAGGGCCATCTGCTGGCCTGTAGTAAAATTGAGCTTTTGGAAAATTGTTACACTTGTGGAATTTGTCTGTTTAGTGAGGGGTTGTCAAATATATCTTGTTGTGGAGCTATCTCTTATTATTATTATCATCGTTATTATTTATTTGTTGTTGTTATTAACTGTCAAGAAAAGCATCATTTTCTGCTTCTGAGAAAATAATATAAAACCCATCTCTCTTTCCTTTTGTAACTATAGATCCTGTATATCACAATAGAATACGTTTATTCATACTACTAGTAAATGTTTATTATTTTGCTAAATGAAATTGTTGTGGTCACAAAGAACCTTTAAGTCTTTACTATAACTGTGTGCACTAGCAGCTGATGCATACAAATCCTGCCAAGAGTGGAACTATTTACTTCTGGGAGATTACTAAAGTTTGAAGTAAGTAACATTTTAAGAAAACGCGTCTTGAGTATCTCCAGTTTATGCAACGTTACCTCCAATCCACTCAAGAGAAAGATTTTTACTTCACTACTTTAATCTGACATTAGTTACTTTGAGGATTTAGATTGTATGTACAACACATATAATCTACAATATGAGTCTTCATTTTAGTACCTAACGGCATACAAAGTGTGTGCTTACAGAGATGTACGTAACAATAATCCAATATTTTAAGATATAACATGGGACCGTTTTATAATGATTATTTTTATACTTTAGACATTTGGCTGCTAACATTTTTACTCGAGTATAATTTTGAATGGAGGACTTTTACTTGTAACAGAGTAGATGTAAGGATGGAGGAGTATGCCTGCCACCACTGGATGTGTGTCAGAGATAAATGTACTCACTCACACAGTCAAATAACTCAACCTAAGCCATGTCTTACACATTTAAACCGTTTCTCTGCTCAGCTTTTACTTCCACTTGCAGCTCATAAATACAAGATGTTAAAAATAAACCACGCACATTATACATTTGGTTTGATTTGACGTTGTCTTGAGTGCTTGATATATCATATAGTAAATACGCATGTTGCATGAACCTGACGTTGTGATGAACTGTAATACTTTTAATCACCAAACGGTGGCAGGAAAGCTTCATAGTCACCAAGGTACGCCTGCACCTGCGGAGGTGTTCAGGTGTCAAGTCAACAGTTTGTATTGGCTTCTCTAAATCACATCTCTCACACACGTTGGGACATTGAATAGCCTATGTCCGAATAACGACATCATAATAAAAAAACTAAAGTGACGTATATACATGTTTATCAAAGCTATGGTCCAATTTAACTGCTGGCTTTTATCTACACACCATGTAAAGGCTATTTAAATTCAAGCCAGTTTACTCGTGTTCATTCTTGTTTGTAGGTCAATGTATATTTGGCGCGTTCTCATATTTTCACAGGATATTTTGGGAGCTAACACCATAATAAGAAAACTTGCATCCTCACACCAGGTTCCGCACTTTCTGCCTCTTCACACTGTCAGATTAGGTTGATTGATTTTTGCGCTTAAACGGCTTCTGCCTGATGTGGGTGGGTTTGCTGTAATGGAGGGGGGTGGGTTAGTCTCGTGCTCGGCGCGTGCCTCTCCGGCCCATCTGTTGCACTGGTCCAACTGTCATAGACACCACGCGCCGATTTAGGGGGAGGTGAGGGGGGAATTCCCACGAGTGGTCTGACTAATGGTACAATTCCCTAAAGGACGTGGACAATAACTTCCTAACACGATTTAGTGGGCACTCCATCACTGCCATTATAGCATAATACATAGCCTATCTTATGTTACAGGAATGATAGGCCTATGCAGATATAAACAAATAGATAGCCTACAGGCCTCTATGATAAGGCTTATTTGAGCAATAACCTAATGCATCTTATTTTGTGGAATATATTTATTGTTTTTCATAGTCTACAGCCTACCATTTGTTATCATACCAACTATTCACTGGATAGTAGGAATACATATTGTGGATTAATTTAATTATCAAAGTGATTGTTTTGTTTTGCAAGAGAAAAAAACAACATAAATAAACCCACAGTATTTGATACCGACCCAGATTAAAAAAAGGAACTGTTCATAATTAATAGGCTACAGTTTGACACCTATATTTTTATTGCCATTGGCTATTTGTTCTGCCTACTTAACCATACTGTCTAAGTGTGTTTATCTATTTATTTGCCAGTCTACTAAATGAGGTCGACATGAAACGCATGAAACACGTCTTTGGTGCAGCTGCAACCAGCTTTACAATGAAGGGTTGACACAGGATTTAATCATGTGAAGGTGATCTGGAGTCTTTTCCCAGGCTTCATCAAAGACGCTCTCACAACTTCAAGCAGTGAGAGACTAAATCCCTATTGAACTGGAAAGGGGCTGCCAACGGTTTTTCCTCGGAGCCTGGGAAAGCTGGGATATTTCTTGCACGCGTCAGACGTGCGACAGTTATTCAAATTAGACTCAATTATTCAGCGCGTGGACCCCATCTGTTGTATGGTCACATCTGCTGCTGCGCGGCAACATTCAAATAATGACATTTTCTGCCCAAGTCCATGCTGCTTCTAACGTATAACCCACGGCCTGTTTGCAGCGGTGTACACGGTCCCAAAACGCATTGAAACGGTTCAATCCAGTACAACCCAGAGGAACACGAAACTCGTTGGTAAAAGTGAACAATTTATGATTTTTGTTCTATATCTGAGCTTTGAAACAGCGGACCATGCCTGTCACAGATAGATAATGAATTAACATTTTTATGACTGACGCACAACCATAACCTATTTATGAGAAGACAAGTCTCGATAATGACCAGACAATTTGATTTCGAGTTTGAATATTTGAGTTGATGATTATGATAATAAACATGGTAGTAGTAATAATATTATTAATGATAATAATAATGATGACAATAATATTTTGTTAAAACTCCATTTACCACGTCAGACGTTATGGTTTTAAAACCACCTTTAAAACTGACAAAACAATAGTAGGCTATATATTCCTGTATTCATACAGAGCAGCTCCTCGCGCCCATCTGCAACTGCCGAGCTGGGTGGCGCGTGCCCTAATTGCTTTTGCTTGAGTAAACCTGGGCGCGTGCTGGGAGGATGCCTTCAGTCTATGATAAACCATGGAGAGAAGCGTGTATGATCTAAAATATTAACAATATTGAATCAGCTATATGTTTACTTAATGCAACATAAAGAATACAATTCACATAAGAGGCATACACATTGTTCATAAAAACAGAGACTGGACAAAATCAACTTTATTAAGCAGCTGAAAGAAGACCAACACACACAACGAGAGGAAATCGCTTTATTTATCCTTTTCCACCCTCCCATCTCCAAAATATTATTGCATAATTTAATCTTATCCTAACTAGTCTTTTGGATTGGCATATCTAGAGCTAAAAATGCATTTCTTTTTTTGTAATTTTTTATTTTTGGACAGCAGCGTAGATTACAAAGTATACATCATATTCAATATATGCCGTCCACAGTTTTCCAAAATTGGGTAACTTCAAAATAATCAAATTTAAGCCAGGAAAACATCTTAAAGCAGTCTTTTGTAAAGTATTCTCTGCATGGAGCATTAAGAAGTTGATATTATACCTACATATGACAATCTTATTGTAAATGTAATACATTTGATATTTACATTTTTAATATGTCACAGAATACAAAAGCCTCTTTTTAATTCAAACTCTTCATAAATTATGCAATCGCAGTAATTGAACACAGGTTTTGTAGTCATTTCATTCTGAAATGCTCACATTTAGCCTCCTGTTATGTACTGTTTATTCTAGAGTTCACCTTGCATTTTATATAGCCCTGATTTCAGTAAGTTATGCTGAATTGAAGTGATTTTTCACCCCAAACTTAAGATAGTAATCTGAACAAACATTAAAAGTCTATAAGCCTCTATTTTGGGCTTTTTCAGACACAAATATGAGAACTTTAACATTGTCTATGTTTGGATCATGTTCCTTACTGAAATAGGCTATTCAATAAACTCATTTTAGCAATTGCAACTAATGTTGAGGAAAATAAGTTTTCCCTTCTTTTTAGATGGACATACATTTTCTTTCATAAAACCATCCAGACTGAAACCTGTCAAAAGATAGACACATTTTCTGTATAACTTATAGCTGCAACTTATAATTCGTGGTTGTTTCCCTTATGATGATCCCTGAAACTTTTAGTACAGGCAAACTTCTAGAATTAACCAACAAAAGCAGGAATAAACGTGCCGCATTTCTGAATTGGTACGTTGTTGCAGCTTGTTTCTTCTCTACACAAGTTAGATGTCTTCTGTCCCCTTGAACTCACCATGCAGGCATGATGTCTCTCCCACAGGGACCCAGTCATCCGTGAGCTGCAGTGAGAATTTCTACGGTCAGACTTTCTCACACTCAAGCTCATTAGCAACTGACAGAAACAGGACAACTGATTTGACAAGACAGGCGTTTTAACAATGTCAGAGTTCAGTGCAAATTAAGAAATGAATTGACTGAAAATGTGGTGGAGTTTAAATAGTTTTTCTCTGTCTCAGTTTATTTTATTTTATAAGTTATAAGGTCCCCAGTAATTTGACTTTAGCAACACATGTTAATATAACAGATATTCATGTTGCAATATAATAAAATATAATACAAACATTGACAGTCACGTGTTACAGTTATAGTATGGTAAC